TACGTTAGTCATTTTTTTTTTCCTTTTAAAGTCGGCATATTTGAATCCCACTCACCTGTCTCATAATAATCATAGACTTTTACATTGGCTGGTTTCAAATTCTTTACTTCAGTGTTTTGTTCTACTGAGATGTAGAAACTCAGGACTTGACTGGTTAGCTGGAGAAATAAGAATACTGAATTGGAATCAAAGATTAACTTAGTTACTAGTTACTCTCTCTTCTTAAGACATTAAATCCTATAGTTGCTCTACCCATTTGTACCAAAACCTGTGGGAAGAATGGGACATTCTGAGACTTGGATAACACTCTCCATGACATAAAAGAAAGGTGAAAGAGACAATTCTATGTACTAAATGTACTAAACTGAGCCTGGTAGGCCAGTTGAGGCTTCCTATCTCTTTTTGACTATTTTCTCCTTTCTTATCTGTCTTTGTGGAAAATACTGTTTGGAATCTGGATTGACTTATTAGAAACTCTAGTATTTCTTTCAGATCTAGCAGCGTCACAAAGAATCTTACCTTTTCAAAGTAAATTAACACATGATTGCTGTTCACTTCTGTTCTTTGAATATCAGGCCTTTCTTGGAGCTGTTGAGCAAGAGAAAGAGCCAGAGATAGAGGATAAGGAAATTTCAGGCTGAGATCAGTTTTCAGGTATTTATGATATAAATGGCTGCTTAGAAACATCCAGACTTCTAATTTTCATTTTTTCAAGAATAATAGTAATAATAATAAAATAATGATAATGATAATAATATAATAGCCCCATCCCCACCATCGCTGGTATTGCTTTCCAAGGCTTTGGTTACCCACAGTCAGATGTTACTGAAAATATTTTAAGTACAATAAAAGATTGGGAGAGAATGAGGTCGATCATTCTCACATACTTTTATTTCAGTATGTTGTTATAATTGTCTTATTATTAGGTATTGTTTATGTCTTACTGTGCCTAATTTTTAAACTTTATTTAGGTTTGTTTGTATTTTGAAAAAACATAGTATATTTGGGGTTCTATTTGTAATTTCAGGCATCAGTGAGGGTCTTTGAACATATCCCCCAGAGGTAAAGGTAGCTACTATAATTATTAAGCCCTTTCTCTCACTGTCATGCTCTACATATTTATAGACATATATACATGTGTTATATATCTAATCATGATTCATACAAGCTATGTATACATACCTAGTACACATACCTAGTCTATACATTCTCATATATGATATATATTATATATATATCATATATATATATGAAAACAATTGTGAGGGAGTTGATTTCTAGAAAACCACATCAGTAAAATAAAATTGACAAGCATAAATATCAGCATTTATCCTGACTGTTATCTGTAAAGGATTTAGACTTTACCTTTTTCACAGATGCTTTTACAGGTATGAAGCCAGATACCATCTTCACATCAACGATGACCATATTAGAGCTGGGTCGTTTCCCGGTATAACTAGAGATTCAAGGCACAGGCACAGATACTTAGACAAAAGTCTTAGAAATTAATTCAAGGCAGAAACTTAATTTTCCAACTACCACATGGTTTCTCCATCTGCCCTATTTGCTTTCTGTTATGGTTGTCCACATAACCCATAATTATGAACTCGCACTTTGCAGGAATGTCAACATCATATTCTCAATGTTAAAACTCTTTAGTAAGAGTAAAAAATTTTCATAGATGGAGCTGGAAAGGATAATGCTTAGTGAAATAATTCAGAAAGAAAAAGAAAAATGCCAGATGGTTTCATTCATAGCAGGAGTATAAGGGATCAGAGAAAAGAAAGAGAGAGAGAGAGAGAGAGAGAGAGAGAGAGAGACAAACAAAGGTAGTAGAGTGAAAATGAAAACAACAAACAACTATAAACCAGAGACATTTTTTGGGGGGTGGAGGGGGGAGTGGGATCAGAACTGGGGTGGGAAGAGTGCACTGGACTGTGGTGATCACACACAGATGAATTGGTGGTGGGAAGCCCATGGGGATTACAACTGAGATGAAAAAATGTACAAAATGAAGAATGATGTAAAAAGATATTAAAAAATTAAAAAAAGAATAAATGGTTAAGCACTGGAATATAAAAAATAAAGCAGATGTTAAAGTAATTGCATTTGTAATGAAATAAGTTGATAGTAAAAAAAGAGTAAAAAAATTTTTTCTTGGTAATAAATACTGCAAGAGTTCCCATTCATTATGCAGGACTTTGGGCAATGGGACAAGAAATGCAAAAATGTACATGAAAATCGGTGTCCCCATGTCAACAAAAGGTGTGATAGTGGTTTTGAATTTACCTTATGTTGATATGAATCTGGATTTTCTTATGAGCATCTATTCCATCACAATCCTTGGGAAGAGTATCAACCTTCAGAGTGAAGGGACCTTTCCCTTCTTTCTTGGGCAGGATGTTATACCTCAGGGATGTCTATAACAAATTGAAAACAAATCCTTTATCTTTGCACTCAAATCATCTTTGTTATATAATTCTGTTTCCCTTAGCACATATTTATTTTACTGTTTGATATTTCAGTTTAATTCTGAGGCTTCCTACCCCTTGCAGCATCCCCTGCATCCTGGAAGTCTCACCTGAAGGTAAACACACCCCGACCCGGATACTGTTGTGTGGTACTCTCCTGGGATCTCTGGCAACCCAACCTCCTGCAGCAAAAGTTGGTTGGTATCATCTACTTGGAATTCTTTAGAGAAGGTGCCTGAAGACTTGACAGTGACTGTAGCTGCTTCCTTTCTTTTAGTGAAAGTTATTGCTGCATATTTGGAGAGGGCTTGGAGAGCTATTACTGTGTCCTGAAAAGGTGAGGACAGAAATAACAAAAGAGGAAGGTGGTAAGATCACACATATCAACATAAATTTCAATTACATCCAAGCCTTGTTATTAATCATCAGCTATTCTAGGTACTTTGGGGCAAATGAGATATTTTGGGTCTAATAATGGATAGTTTTAGACGTTGCATTAAACGTGACTTACTGTCAGGGAAGTAATCTTATAAAAAGTATTGCTTTAGGGAGATTGTCTACTTTACAGTTGAAGGACCACTAAAGAGAGAAAATTAAAAAAAAAAACCTCTATAGATGACAGAACAATAATCCACATATAAAGTTTGAAAGAATGAGTCCAGAACCTTTCAGATGTTGGAGGAATAGAGAAAGTATGAATGAAAAACACTGTTTAGTTTTTCAACTCCTAGAATATGGTTGGATCTACATATGGGCCACATGTTTTACTTCCTAGAGTATCTGCACAAACCTGAGTGGAGGAGAAGCCCCCATTAGGGTTCTGTTGCTTGATGATCCATTTCACAATTCGTGATGCCACAGACAGGTCTTTTGAAGATGGGCGAGGCTGGACAGTAAGATAGGCCAGGAGCACGTAAGATGTCATCTCTACTTCAGCAGAAGGAGCCCGGGGTTGAAAATAGAGTGTCTCAGGTTGTCTAAGTTTCCCAGGATGTTGCCAGTGGATTGAGTCATCTTTCAGATGGTAAAGGATACTCTTAAGCTTTGAGAATTGCTCAAAGTCCAACTTATGAATTTTAATTATAATTAGAGCTCATCCAATAAATTGATGTAAGTGAAATAAAAGCATTAAATAATCACTAAAAAGCAAATCTTTGACCAGACAGTAAATTAAGTTTCCAGCAAATTACCTTTTGCCCGTTAAATATTTGTGCAATATTGTAAGTTAAGATATATAGACTCTATAATGTGTGAATTGATAAAATGATCCATGCTACCTATAACACATAAGTGTTAGATCAATTATTACTATTATATATAAAATAAAGCAATAATATAATTGCAACATAGGTGGGAACTTAAAAGTCACCCTTTTGATCAATGGAGATTTTTGAGAGTAAATTAAAAACAATGTATATATTTATTTTAAATTAAGGTAGCATTGACTTACGCTATTGTTGGTATTTTGGAAGAATAGGTTGGAGCAGTTCTTACCCTCTTTCAGAGCTTCTCTGTCTAGTGATTGAAGTATCTCATTTCGCCTGGCCCACCTTCCTGCTAGAGCAAAGCCGTAAGCCAATAATGCCTTTGTATAGACAGCATTTCCTTTGGTCCTTGAGATGTATCTCCAGGTCACTTCCAAGCATGACAGAGCATTGCGGACAACTGGGTGCTGTAAAGATGAAAAAAGCAGACTACTGAACAGTCCTGTGTAGACACAGATTAAAATCCACCAGTGTGCCTGTGCAGCATCGCTGTTCTGACCAGAGAGTAATTTCCTCTGTGGTCTTCAAAAGGATCTGATCCTTTCTGCCCCAGTGAAATATACTGAAACAGGTGAAAACTGTAACTCATTTCCAGTGATTCATAGTTCCATATTTGTCATTTGTGAGAGAGATAGAGGGAATGTGCTGGCATATACCGTGACTTGCAGTGGCATCTCCAGCAGAGCAATGGTGATGTAGGCAGAGAGCGTCACCTCATCATTTACTCCACCCTGTAAGGAGCAGAGGCAGAGATGTGGACACCTCAAAAATTTATCAGTGTCAGCTAACTCCTTTTTCCCTTGGACATCCTCACTTTTGTACTTCACTGGTGCCTCCCCCCTTCCTCTCCCATCTACAATTCTTGATTTTATCCCAGATCACCTTCCCTGACTTATAGTAATATTTGGGGGGGAGGGCTGTACTCTCTTCAATATAAAAATTACTAACTTATTGCTAGTTTTCGGAGGCTTTTAAGTTTCCTATGTGCCCTCAAAGTGCATCATTATCTTAAGGCATCAACAGAAGCACTGTGGTTCCTGTATATCACTACCTTGAGGGACCAGGACAGAATTCAAGGTGCTACCTTAATAGCATTGTTCAGTATTGATCCAGTACGCTGAAAACAGCCATTTCCCTTTTGCTTCTTTGAGAGCCAGTTGAAGGAGTTAACGAGGTTTGAGTTGTCCACAAAGATGTATGACTGGGCTTGAACAAAGGACTTGAGCACAAATGCAGTGAGCCTGTCCAGCAAAGAAGAGCCTGACATGAGAACCATTTCATTTTTGAAGCTCAGTTTGTACACTGCTTCCAAACATTGGTCAATAGAATTCAGTGGGGAAAATTTTGGGGGGAATTTGATACGTGAAAGCTGAGTATTCTTTTGTTTGTCAAACAAATATTGGAATCTTACTAATTTCTCAACTTTATTGGCTTCTCCACAGTTGATGTTTTTAACATTATTTTCCCACGAAATGTCTGTTGGAGTCTTTGTCTTGCCAATACCAAGACATCTGTTTTCTGAATGTTTGATATCATAATCTCTTTCTGCACTTTCCCTCCTCTCCTCTTCTAATGCAATATGGAAGCTTATTTCTCTTCCATTTCACTTGTTTATGCTTTATGTCTTCCATTTCCATTTTAGGAGGTCTTATTGCACTGCTGTCTCCTATACCATCAGCAGATGCACTTTCGTAGAGAAAACAGCGAGGTCTCCCACACAGATGATGTCTATGGAGATTTTGAAAGGATTTAAAGAAATTTAACAAATTTCAAGGTAGCAGAAATAACCATTCCCAGAGTTGTGAAATATTATGACTCGACAGAGAACATAAGGAGTGAGTTATCTTACCAAGTGCTTCCCTGAGTTCTGTTGCCTTCATCCCCAAAGGAACTGTATGAGCCATCGCTGTGCCTGTAGTTCAGTTGCCTCTGGTACCCTGAAGAGGAAGTTTTCATAGATTCATGACATAGTAAAAGACATTTGAGAATTAGTTTTTTTTTCTTGAAAGCTTGTTGAGGAATTACAGGTGATTATCATTTTGTTAGCATGACTCTAATACTTGATGATATAATTGAATTTTCTATAATTGAACAGGCATTTTCTTGCTTATAACAGTAACAGTGACTATTACATCTTTACCAAAAGTCGCTGATTTGAGTACATCAAAGGAGATATTTAGGAACTCAATGGAGATTGAGTACTTTGGGGTACTCTCTCACCACTGATGAGGTTGTCGATGGCTTTGGACTTGATTGTCTCTGTTAGCTGTTGTGTTTTACTCAGATAGTTCAGGACATAAATGTTGGGGGCAAAAAGGATCATATTCTGCTCTCCACAGCCGAAGGGCATCTGGATAAGATTCTGAAGGTTTTGCATTGCTGAGCCTAGTATATCACCTGGAAATGAAAGAAATTTGAAAGAAATAGATGGTTTAAGGGTGAGAAGACTGGGAAGAAACTTAATGGCAGGTTCCATTTTTTTGATGAACTACATTTCTGATAGAAGCCATTTTCAAATCGATTAGGAAGCTTATCACCTAGTTAATTTTCTGATATGAGGGCACAGAGAGAGGACCCTTTGAACTTTTTAGAGTACATCAGGGTGCATAACATGTGGCACATCTACTCCGTTCCCCTTTTGATTGATAGACAGTCTTCAGCCTGTGCTTTCTCTCAGTCCATTCTGAAATCAGGAGCCACACTAACAATAGCCGATGAGATCCATGCACTAGAGCACACTGACCACAGGTGATGAGATCCACATACTAGAGCTACACTGACCACAGGTGATAAGCTCCCACACACTTGAGCAACATTGACCACAGGCGATGAGATCCACGCACTAGAACTTCTCTGACCACAGGTGATGAGATCCCACGCACTAGAGTTACACTGACCCCGCACTAGAGCTGCAGGGGTGAACAGCTCTTCCCCTGAGCTGGGAGACTCACCCACAACTGAATATGTCGCCCTGGCAGAGTCTTCAACTACATTTGAAGGAACATTTAGTGACAGTTTTTCAGGTTCTCCAGTTTCTAATGAAAGAAGACAAATATGTATGTCGGATGGGGAAAATGAGAGAAATGTTTTCATTTGAATTATTTTCCTCTACATAATCCATATTTTAACCTCTCATTTATCTTGGTCATTATATAATTCTTTAATGCAAACCAATTTTTTGCAAATGTCAACAGTCACTCTCACAGTGAAGTTCATAAATCATGTTTGTGCTAAATTTCTAAAGACTTTCTTGTAGTGTACATCTTATGGAATACTTATTTCCTTCTCTTCATTGTTCATATTAATTTTCACTATTAGTGTTTTTTAAAAATCCATATCATAAATATGTATTAAATGCCTACTATGTGCTGTGTGGTTATGTTCTTGTTTTAGTGCTATGATGTAGCATTTTGCAAAAGAAATTTCCTGAGATTGTAGAGCTTTCACTTTGAGAGAAATGAGATAGAAAATATTTTGTATGACAGATGCTGATATTCAGAAAATTAGAGCAAAGTTAGGTGCTTATACAGGGAACAATTAAGACAAGGTGAATCAGGAGGTGCAAGGTATAGAAATGAGACTCTCTACCAAAACTCACTGGTAAAAATACCATAAGTGACAGGGAGTGCGATCTATAGACATCTGGGGGAAGGACTACCAGGAAAAAGGAACAAAAGTGAAAAGACTGTGGAGATCGGAGCATGTTCGGTGTGTTCCAGGAATAGGTTAGGAGGCTAGTGTTCCTGTAGCAGGGCAGGGTCGGGAAGGACAATAGGACATGAAGTCATGGGGCAGCAAGAATGTGTGGGTGACATTAGATGCACAGATTTTGAGGAGCATGGGGAAACACTTGGAGGTTTTGGGCAGAGGAGGAATATGATCTGACCTGTGCATTAAAAGATCACTCTTGCTGTAGGGGAGTAAGGGGAAATGATCAGGAAACATATCAGGTCACTGAGCCAGTTCAGGAAAGAATTGGCCAAAATAGAAGTGGATGTGGTGAGAAGTGGGAAGATTCTGGATATAGTGAGAAGGTGGAATCAACTAGATTTGAGAAAGGATTTGGTGTGGAGAATAAGCGAAAGAACACAATAAAGGATGACTTCAAGGTTGTTATCTTTAGCAGATAGAGGAATAGAATTTCCATCATCAGAGATGGAGAAAATCAGTGGAGCAGAGGCTAGTGGGGACCAGCAGAGGTTCAGTTTTGAACATACTATTTGTGAGATGCCAGTTAGATCTAGAGACCTATAAGTGGAGATGGCATTTGGGCAGTTGAAAACAGTTTCCTAAGTCTGCGTTCAGGAAAGATATGTGTTCTAAAGAGGTAAATTTTGTGGTCTCCAAAACAAAGTTGTTATTAGACTTCCATGATTAGATGAGACCTAGAGATGCTGTATAGAGAAGAAATCTGCACCATGAACACTGTCGTCAGGATGACTGTAGATGGTGCAGAATTGAAATTTTTTTTTTAAAGATTTATTTATTTGCATACAGAGCTGGAGTACAGGCCAGAGGTGCAGAGGTGGTGAGAGGATTCACCAGGGACAGAGTGGGGAGCAGAACAGGCAGACTGACGAAGTACACTGCTGAGGGGAGCAGCAGGCGGGTCAAGAGAGGTCTGCCTCACCATGTGGGTCACCTCCCGGGCAGGGAGGGGATTGAACTCATGTGGAAGTGGCTTTAACTTCTCAGTGCTGTGCTTTAACTTACTGCGCCACCAGGGAGGGCTGCAGAGTTGAAATTTAATGGCAATTTCAAAACTTAATGGTTTTAGTAAAAAGTGAGTTTTCTGTATATACCATTGATCTGAAGTTCTTCTTAAAATAACATTTGGGGAGGGAGATAGAGAAGTATGTTTTTGAAGTGTAGTAATGATAGCGAACACTGGATCCCCACACACTTTAGACACACAAGACAGTGAACGGTGAATGTCTGAAATCCAGTGCTTCTCTTTGTCCTGGAGCAAAGATATAAGCATCTTTAAACTATTGACTGAATAGTAAAATAGTTCTAGTGCCACACAGATATTTCAATATTTTGAAGTTTGAAAAAGTTTAGGACCACAGATTTGCTGGGAAAAAAATCACATCCCATAGTCATCAGCGTTATTCCTCATAATTAGCCAAGAGCTTTTAGCAAAGTCTTTTTATTTCTTTATGCTTTTATAAAGAAAATTTTGTTTTTCATCAAATAGTCTTTGATTTGCACCTGGGAGAGTATACCCATTTGTATTTTTTATTTTCAGAGGAAACATTCCACAGCAAGTGACTTAACACGAGCCTTATATCTCTTTCGATGCTTACCTGATGCACAGAGTAATGTGTTGAAAGTTTCCTCCCTTTCTATTCCTTCAGGCTTTTCAGTGGAGGGAGAAAAGAAGAAATAAGATAATGAATAGGAGAGAAAAATCAATCATTTTAGAGTAGAGAAGAAAATGTTAGTTAAAAATGTTCTAAAAAAAAATATATATGTATATCCATGTTCTGAGAACAGAAGTGTGATTATCCCAGTGACATGCTGTATTACATGATAAGATCCCTAGGTGGGGGGAAGTATGCCTGCGTGCCTCTGGGTGGGAGGAAGTGTGCCTGCGTACCTCAGTTATTAGGGGCTTGATTACTGTATCCTTCTGCGCCAGCTCTGGGACTTTAGGCTCCTCATTGCCACACATTTCCTGAGACTGGAGGGCTTCTGCAGTCGCTGTGAAATTCACCTTTCCTGGGGGATAAGATTCTTATGGAGTCAAATAGCAATTCTATAATGAATCCTTATTTTTTAGTTTCCCCTGTATATCTGTATCTTTAGTGATTTTCTTTCAATCAGAAAAAAACCTGTATCTGGTTCATAGTTGAAAAGAAATCATTACAACATAAATAGGATTTGTCAACAACACTCACCTAGTGACTTTGGAGTCACAGTCCAGGACACAGTGTTCTTTCCATTTCTACAGATACAGTGAGATTCTTCATTTGCCTCTACTGGAACTGCTATGAAGTCAGGAGAGCCCTCCAGCTGTACTCTGACCTGTCCCCCATGGGTTGGAGAAAAGATAGGCAGAGGGTCAGTATCAGGAGAAAGAACTTAAAGGCATAATGCCTAGTAATGGAGAGGTTTCAAGGAATTATTAAAAAATGAAAATCCTGTCAAATACCCTGTGGTTTAGATTTTTCCAATAAAGTAATTGAGAACTTGATGAAAATTGAAATAATATGTCTAGGATTTACACTTGTGCCAACAAAAGGAAGTGATTTTTTTTAAGTCAAAGTGAAACAATAAAGCAATTAGGTGGAAATAAATTCTGAATTCAGGCATACACAGGAACTCCAGAGTCCCAGATGAATATAAACTTACTCTCATATCTGCCAAGTAACTTTGCCCGTGGTACATATTCCATTCCAAATTTAGGCACATCTATTCAGTTATGATTTGCTTGATTACCAGAAGACCACAGCAGTGAGAGGTGATGGTGTTCATCCCTCTACCTCTGCCTCATGCAGAGAGATGCCCTTACCCGAATGCAGTGGAGCAAGTAGTTGAACACTGTGGCTTTGAGTGTGAAGTCTTCTCCTCGTACCACTGAGTAGGGGAGAGTGAGTTCTAGGAAGAAGGGCTGGAAAGCTTGAAGAGAGATGATGGGGGAGAGGCCAAGCCCTGTAGTTCCAGATAAGCAGAGTGCACTGGCCTTCCATTCTGTGATGGTGTCTGGAATTTTCGTGGTCAACTCACTTCTACCTGATAAACTTGTGAAGGGAAAAAGAGGAGAGTACATGAATTCTGCCCCCACCTTTCATGATAAGTGCTAAATTTGATGTAAGTCTTGCTATTCTTAGTGAGGTCTCTGAAAAATATTTTTTTTTCTTTTTAAGGGTGAGGGTAACTTCCTGCTTTCAATTATTTTATGTATTTCAGGAACAAATCAGACAACACTGCATTGTTTAGTCATGAGACTAATAAAATATGAACCTGAATACTTACCAGAAAAATGTGGAACAGGACTAAAAGGATCAGGAAGCAGAGATATCACCAGATTCATAGAGGAGGATTAAAAACTTCCCCTGAATTAAATTCCGGGCAACACACAACTTACTCAAGTACCACCAAGTCCCAGATCCAGGTCTCAGGGAAATACTTCCGGATTATCTCTTTCTGTTTTGCTTCCATCTGCTGAAAGTTTCCACTCATATATCCCATAGAAGATACATAATCCATTTCTAAAGGTGGGGTGCCTGGAGATCTTGCGATGTTTGGTATGCCTGGTACAGCTGCTAGACCTCCGCCTCCTGCACCTACTAAGCTTCCTGCGCCCACTAGGCCTTGTGGGCCTGGTACGCCTGGCATGCCTAGTGCGCCTGGCACGCCTGGTATGCCTGGTGTGCCTGGTACACCTGGTATTCCTGGTATGCCTCCTGGAGTGCCTGTGAAATAAGATAAAATGCAGGAGCCCATGTGTTATCACTGCTTTCTTTTAGATGCCTTGATTCTCATGAAGAATAAGGTGATTTACTGCAGGGAATGTTTATTACCGGAACAATTTAACCTTCTAACGTTTACTTTGTTCACTCATCTACTTTTATAGGGAGGCTAACCCACTTGCTTCATTAAATAGTCAAGAGGTAAATGCATTTTTTGTTGTTGAAATGAAAACAAATGTAGTTCTCTCTAAAGTGATTATTCTACTGATGAAGGTAAATTAAGGAGAAATTTAATGTACCTAGTATTGCTTTTACCCTGCTATAGATCACATGTTCTTCATTTATAGTGAGAATCCACCAAAGTTTCTATAGTAAGAGGATTTCAGGAATGATTAAAACAACGAATGAGATACGGAGATATAAGTAAGATTTAGCAAAGTATGGGTTGTAGACAGCAGAGGCTCATTAATACAGAAAGTCACCTTTTGATTGGTTAGAAGATGCTTTGCCAAAGTAGAACATAAAACCACCATCAAAGATGAGACATACTTAGAGGAGACTGAGAAGGCATTCCACAGAGATGGCCACTCAGACACACGCAGAGGTGGGAAGGGTGTTCTGGGGGTAATGAGAAGTTTATCTCTCTGGAATAGGATTTCTAAATTGAGGGGTATGTTTATTATAGTTGAAGGAATAATAGGTGCAGTTAGATACCATGGAGGTTAATATAGATACATCAGGTCTGTTAAGGTTGGAGTTAGTTTGATTTAAAAAAAGTCCAGAAATCAGAAGATACATAATTTTTATTTAAGATAATGGAGTTGGACATGCTCTTTTAAAACCTGAACTGTAATAAGTCTGTGAATTATTGGGGTAGTGATTATGTGTGAGAAATAAGTGATATGTTAAAAGCAATATTTAAGTATGATACTTCTTTTATAGTATATAAGACAGAAATTGTAAGACACTGGAGGCAAAGAAAGTAAGTTGGGAGGTTTTTAAGTAATTTGGATATGAAATAGTGAGGGAGGGAAGTATTAAGTTGGTATAACTGTAAATAAAGAGGAAAGATTGGATAGGTCATAAATACTAAATGCAAACGTGTGGAATGTTACAGACTATCTGGTTTAAGAATGTAGTGGTGGGACTAAGTTCATGTTTTTTGAGATCATTCCATCAGCATCCTTTTTTGGAAAGATAGACTTGCTATAAAGAAGGAATGTGAAACTAAAGAATAGTGATTTTCATTTTTTTTTTAAACAAGAAGTGTGCCATTAGATTGAATCATAATTGCATTTAAAAAATTTTATACTCATAGTACCTCACTGAATTTGGTTCTGTTACTCTGACTTTGGATAGGAAGATGTTGTACCTCCAAAGGTAAAATGAGTGTGTGAACTTTCAATCGCGTCATCATACCAGGTACAGATAGAAGAAGGTGCACCTGAGCGCTTAACACAGGAGTCTTTTTTTCACTATCTGGGGTTTTTCTTTCTATTGAGGGAATATTCTCATGCACTCCACTCATCTCAGTTAGAACTTTAATACAGTAAGTCTATTTTATAACTATTTTATTTTAAAAACTAATTATACCACCATCTGGTAGATTCAAGCATGCCAAGAGAAATTTCTCTCTACCTGATAGTAGTAGAAAATCACACTTAGTATTACAATCTTTTCAACTTTTCCTCATTTTCAGATAAATTTGAAATAATGCAACAGGTGACTAGTAGTAGATCTGCCAAAAGTTTAATCATTCTACTTTGCTCAATATGTCATATCACTTCGATCTATAAAACTGTATCCATATTATCTTTCCATTGCTCAGCTTCCCTTGCATTTAGGGCATTCCACTGCTGACCCTACAGGCGGGGCACAAACCGACTCCTTCTTCCCATGGTCATAACCTTGGGAAATAGGTAAGGCACCCTAAATGGAAAGGCACCCTAAGGTGAGTCACAGAGTGAGAGCAGACCAGATCCCCTTGGTAAGGAACTGTTCTAGACAGCTCTGAACTCATAAGCAGTTTTCATGCAAGCAGCAAATAAACTGCTGTATGCTCAGCGAATGAGGAGGCCTGGAGGTTTGTTTATCATTGCACTGTAATCTGTCCTGTCCTAACCAATTTAGGTATTGAATTCACAGTGAGTAAAGAAGATTGAAATTAGCAAGACTGTTGAAGTCTAGGACAAATTAGAACTTGAGTTTTGAGTCAGAGAAAGAAGTTGGGTGGCAATAACTAAAAGTCCTATTTTTTTCAGTGAAAAATACTATTTGAAGAAAATTTATCAAGAAGTTACTCAAGAGACAAAAGATCCAATATTTAGAAAAATAGTTTTTTAGCCCAATCCAATTATAAGCAAAACATCATTTTTCTTTTATTATTCTAGCAGACAAATCTTACTCTTACCTAGTCCATAGGAGCTAATCCCTGGCACTCTTGAATATGCTCGCGGATACTGGCAAATATGGGGCTTATGGATTTTTGAGTTGGTATAAATATTTAATCCTATAGACTGGAAGAAAATAAATTATTAAAACATAGGAACTCAAGTCTTGAGATGAATATTCTCTTGCATGTGTACTATATACTTTCACTGTTATTATTGATATATACATAACTAATATGATCATTGTGCTATTTCAACAGAAAAGGGAAGAGAGTTATTTTATAAATATGAAATTGGAATTATAAAAGTCAAGTTCATCCAGTTAGTGAATGGGAATTGGGGTTTCTCTCAGAATTTTGTCAACATACATCAGCATACGCTGATGCCTCCTTAATTATGTTTTGCATTTGGGGTACAGTGTTTTAGCACTGGACAATTGCCTTCCCATCCACCTCCTCTCCCCTCCCTTGCCCCCACTAGGTATAACACATTCATGCCTGTACACACCTTCATAGCTTTATTACAGAGGGATTTTGTTTTGTTTTGGAATCATAGCTTGGCATATTGTAGATTTTTTCTCACATTAGTAAATTCTGTTATTTTTTTTTCCGGTAAGCATCCTTTTACTTGAATATCTGCATTCAACTTCTCTTTTGTAATTTCTCCTTTCTCCTTTTCTTTCTCTGCTGTTTTTAACTATCTCGTCACCCAGTGTTGAAGTCGCACATGCTGATGTCTACAGTAGCCTAATTCCCAGAGCCTACCTGTTGACCTTAGTCATAGTGCCACAGCTAAATACTACTTGCTGGCTTGCCTCAGCGGATAGGGGAAGCTGTAGGGCTCTGGGTGATGTCAGTGATGGAAGGAGTGGGATAAGGAGACAGAAGTCAGAGACACATGTTTACAGATTAGTCAGCTAGTAAAACTGTGGTCTTCTTTCTCTCCTTCCCAGCCAACTGACTTATGATTCTGGAGCTAAGAAACACATTTTTAAACATGCTAACATTTCTAATCAATATTTTTCTAATCTTTCCTTAATGAAATGTTAGTTTCAGTTTTTCTGGATTTTAGTGCCCAGAAGGCGATGGCTAAAGTATTATGCTTTGTATGTTCCGTTACTCATTCACCATGTACTTATGCGGATGACTGAGATAATGGCTGCCAGTATCTACCTACTTTCCAGAGGCACTATGCAAACTTTCTTTTTTCTCACATAACAGACTTCAGACTTGAAGGGGAATATGCAGTGATAACTAGTTTAGGCATCAACTTGATTAAAGCTGGCCCCCCCCCTTGAATAACTGTATGTATACAAAGTTTGCTAAGTGAGGTTTCAATATTTTTCCACTAGCCAAAGCTTTGTTTGGAAGGAGCAGAGGGGTATGGAGCAGGATCAGATTCTAGAGCTTAGAAGTCTATTTGTTCTGCATTTAAACAAATACTTAAAATGAACTTTGGTTATACTTTTAGGAAGAGTAACAACCTGAAAGATACTGGCGGTGTCCGCAGCAGTCATGATCAGCCACATAGGAGAGGGTACATTGTAATTGAAGTTTTCTATACTGACGCAGTCTCCCAAATCTTCATTCAGGAAAGGTAGATATTGAATAAAAGGGGCTGTCTGTTGTGATAGCAAATTATAGACCTACAAAATCAAGTGAATAAAGGGAAAATTGTTGTTTATATTTTAAAAGTTTCATTTAATTTAATACAAGATTGAAAAGACTTTACCACCCACATGCTAGCATTATAACAAGACACAGAAATTCAAAGGATGATATTAAAATATATGGATTCTAATCCTCCTATACAAAAGAAATGTATAAATAACAAAATGGAATGAAATGATCAGTGTCTCAGAGACCATTTTGGTTGAATGAGACTAAAACCAATGTTTCCTGTCTTGGTGGCCAAATGCCTACTTTTTGAAGGAAGCAGAAAGGGTAGACAGTACGGAGAAGCATAATGAGAGAATATAGGCCCCTCATAATCTTATCACCCAGAAATAAGCTCTGTAAACATTTGATTAATTTCTTTTTCCCTTTTTATATGATTCAGCTTCTATCAAGTTTTTTTTTTTGTTTCAGTTACTATTTTAGAATCAAGTTTAGCTTGAGAAAAAGCCGAGTGAGAAAAAGTTTAGCTTGAGAAAAGCTCCTACAATAACCACCGGTTTCTGTTCTTTCATACTTGCTCCCATGTGCTCAACAGCAAACAGAATCTCCCTAGTAGATAATTTAAATTGTCACTCTATTGGTCAAAACTCTTTGTTGATTTAGCTTTAAGTTTATTTTCACCTCCCAATTCTCAGCTAATAGAGATCATTATCTTGGTCCTTTCTTCCCAGCCCACCTGTATGTAGCTCTGTCATTACCCTCTGTCACCACTGCTTAAAGGTCATTATTTCCTTTTCAGGAATGATCTTATTCCAGATTTTTTTCTATTCTCAGGCTCTTAGAATGCTGCTTCTGTTCATTGTAGAATCTGACCATGGCCCTTTATTTGATAATGTCAGAAGACACCCCTAATCACTATATAAAAATTGTTAGACTCTTTTTTCTTATGAAAAAAAATCCTTATGAAAGGATGTCAAACAACATACGCATTGAAACATGAAATTATTGTATGTTGGTATGTATTTGTTTTGCTACTTTGTATGAGACTAAGTCTATAATGCTCAAACATGTCTTTTGACTTGCTAACCATTAGAACTCCTATTTACAGATTAGTATCCATTGTAGCCAAGACACAGTGAATACTTAATAAATAATAGGCGATAAATCCTGTCCATATATCTACCACCTTTTTGAAAGTGCTTCATTAGAAGAAACATCTTTCAAAGCCAGTTTGAATGGAAACTCTTTGGCCATATGTAATAGTAGTGCCTGGACTGTGGGGGAGAAAATCTGGCATTTCAATAACAACCTTGAAATTTGGTATATTAGGAAGCAGCAGTGAATGAAATTTGGCTTGGATTCCACCTTTAAAATATATTTTTCTTTCTATAGCTGCTTAGTCTAGCCTGTTTTCTTTATTTACAAGTTAAGAATTATTCATTTAAAAACTTGCTGAGCATCTTTTATACATAAATGCCTGTACTAGACACAAGGGTTGTACTGGAGAACAAGCTTGCCCCTTTTATAACACAGAGTGAAATGACATGATATATGTGAAGCCCCTTGACTAACTTCTTTTGTGAAACTGAACTGAATCCAATTTAAACATAACTTACGGTATTATGCCTGACACTCTTGATGAACTTGACCTTTGCAGTTACAAGTGCTAACTTCCAATCATGGTCTTACCATTGCATTTTCTGATATGCAAGACTGACATGGGACTCACAGATTCAGGTGAGAGCTCAGCTTCAGGCTTCATTAGCAGCACACTCTGGTCTACTGCACGGAGGCCGCAGAGGGATTTAGGGGAGGCTGTCACCTTCAGTTTGGTGTCTGAGGCTGGCAGGCCCTTGGCTGAGGAGAAGCTCAGATTGACCTGTAGAGAGGATGTGTTATGGTGGCAACTCTCCTAATTGTCTTTTCCTATACCAGGTAAACACTAGTACTTTTTTTTTACTTTTACTTTTAAACTTTTTTTTTTTATAGAGTTAGCATTGTAAATAAGATTCGGGTGTATAGTATTATGGTTCCGTGATTGTATATACGTTATGTTCATCAGCAGAAGTCTAGTTTTTATCTATCATAGAATTACCCACCCTGTAGTCCCCTTTCCCTCTCATAACCAGTAGTCTTTTCTGTGTCTAAGAGTTTGTATTTGTTTTGTTTGCTTCTTTTGTTCCATATAGAAGGGAAATCTTTGGTATTTGTCTTTCTCTTATGCTTTATTTCACTTAGCATATGTCTTCAAGGCCCATCCAAATTGTCGCAGGTAGCAAGGCTTCATTTATTTATTCATATGTAGTTATTCATTTACTGAGATATCCATACATATGTATGTATTTTTTCATTTATATTAAACTATATTGTTTATATTATTGTAGATATTTAATGTAGTAGATTACTAGAGTAGAACTAATCCTGTTTATACTTCTCTCTCTTCATTTCTTTGGAACAGAATTAAAGATAAATCTGCCTAGCTACTGCAAGTTAATCACCTTTGGAATAAACTGAAAATTTATTTCCAGATAAAACTCAAGTGTCCCACTCCTTTTATAATTGGTGAAATATAAATTGATATGGATCACACTGAAATAGAATGCTAAGTGGAAATGAAAAACACATGCTAACAAAGATACATATCCCACTGCAGCTGACCTAGCTCCGTGTGGTATTTTGTAATGAATATTGTCCTGTGCATGGCACAGGGAAGCATCACACCCCTCCTCTGTCAGTAGACAGCTGCAGCCTCCTCCAGTTGGCTGGTTGAGACCTCTGACATTACAAAGCCATGTAAAACTTTGATCAGGGTTAGGGATTTATTGAATCATTTACAAGCTAGAGCTCTCATACATATCCTGAGTTTGGTTGAAAAAATTCAAAGGACTGTGAAAGATTGTGCACAATCTTTTCAGAGATTTGGTTCTGGTTTGGCCAGCAGAAAACCACTGGTAAGTGAATTCTATTGGATGCTTATGTTTATTCTATTTTTTAAGTGGAATATGAGTTTTATTTTATAGTCAAAAATAAAATAATTTAGAATTTCATTATTAAAATAGCATTGGGTAACTTTCTAGATTCTTAATTTTATTGATTAGATTGGTTATGAAATGTCAGTGTACACTGTTAAATAATATTTTCTTTGGGTTGCTGAATGATAATCTTTCTATTGGTCTGCTGAATTAAGTAACAGCTTGGATTTATGTATCATGGGACATGTATGAAAAAAATAATTGATTTACATAAAAGATGCAGTAGTACTCTATTTTCATAGTTTAATATGTTAAGAAAACACTGCTTATAGAAAATTACATTTTAAACATATTTACCTTTATTTTAGAACATTTAAGTCTAATAAAGAATATGTTGGTGAATATCCATTTCCCATGAACAAGTGAGTTTTTTGAGATTAACCTAGAAGTAGCTATTTTAGAAAATATAAGACTTTTTTTTCTATATTGCAACCAAAAAGAACTTCAAGGTCTATTTGGAGAGTGTGTACCTGCCAGTATTAATCATTTTTATCTCTAATGAATAATTATATTTAATTAAAAATCACAGGCAATTTAAGCTGCTAGGCAACATTGAATGTATGCATGAGATCTGTTATTTTTTAAAGTAAGAAATAGGTATGTGAATTTTAAGTGAAAGACACTTTTCTCTATCCCAGTGAAGATTGGGAAACATTTAAAAATATGTTGTTCTGAAGGAAGAGGTGACTCTTTTCTCACATTCTCAGCCCACTCTTTGCTATCATTTTATCAGGATGTATGACTTCCATGGTCCTTAATTTTTAAACTTTATTTCCTTTCTAACTTCCATGGCAAACTAAAATAATAAACTTAAAACAATATAACTCTTCGGCCCTCCCTGGTGGTGCGGTGGCTTACAGCACAGCACTAAGAAGCTAAAGCCACTTCAGCATGAGTTCAAGCCCCACCTGCCTCAGAGGTGAGCCACATGGTGGGCAGACCTCTCCTGACCTCCCGCTGCTCCCCTCAGCAGTGTACTTTGTCGATCTGCCTGTTCTGCTCCCTGCTGTTTCTCACCACCCCTGCACCTCTGGCCTGTACCCCAGTTCTGTATGCATGAATAAATAAATCTTAAAAAAAGAAAAAAAAAAAACAATGTAACTCTTCATCCTGTGTTACCTATTGTTTCATAACTTAGCTCTAACCAATGATAAGTTAAAGTATGTTTGAATTGAAGTAATTGAATATAATATCCATGGGATTTTGCTTCTGTGTGGAAGTGGTATGATGTGGCATAAGAATATTCTTCATATGTTTTGGATTGGACCATGTGGGATGACTATAGTGTGTTGAGGAATGTAGCATCACATAGTTGTTTAACAAACAACTAAGCACAGAGGCTCAAAGTATGAGTCTCTTTTAAGTTGATAGGAACTACACAACTACTACTGCTTTGGACATCTGTCTAGATTTAATAGCATTCCTTAGTAAGATCGAATTGAAAATGTATGTCAGAATTCACTGTGTACTTTTCTTAGATCATTGTGCACTGGGGAAAAAAACTACCTAAATATAGTCCTTATTGCAGAATTTCCCACTTGCTATTAAATGCATATTATTTTAATCTCCATAACATCCATGGTAACATCCTTAGGCTATTTAAATCTACATATCGTAAGTCACCAGAGCCTACCTGGTTGTTAATGTTAAATTTATGCCAATAGAGAACTAAAAATTACATAAGCAGCCCAAATTCTGTCGGGATAAGCTTATGGGTATTTTAGTCTGACTTCTCATTACAGCTCTTTGGAAATAAAAGGAAATCCTATTTGTCAGTGTGCTTGATTTTTGTTATATGCATTATTAGAATATCCAGACTATGTTTCTCAAAATGGGCCACATATACACCCGTTTTGTACTATTTAAACTAAATTTAAACTCCTGATAACTGACTGGTTTCTATGTTGGCACACTGGTGTGTGTCGGGGGTATGATTTTGATGGGACAGAGTTGGTGAGCTGCTTTGAGAAACATCTTTAATTGAAATATTGGGGTAAGAAATTTTAGAATTAAAATGATTAAGGCTTTATAATGGACTAGAAAATCTACCCCAACTTTAAGAAAAAAGGAGGAGGTTTCAAAAAACTGTGCTTATGTCCCCTTGCTTTGGATGGTGCTAATGGGGTCCCGAGGTTATGGCACCACTCCACCCTCACAGCTATTTGAGAGGCAAATTTTACGGACACTACTAAAGGTAGTTTTTAAATAGGTATTACATCCTTGTATTTCATCCTTCGAGACAGGAGATAAATGAAAAGAACTGGACTTAAAACACCCACCTTATTGTCAAAACAATTTTCAATCTCAAGTGTCTGAGAATCTGCAATCACTTCTTCATTAGGTAAAATAGTATAAATGAGCAGCTGGGCGGTAGGAGCAAGGTCTGATTTCACTTGAATGGAGAAGGAAAATACTCCTTTCACTGGAGAACAGAGACAGTTCAAGAAAGTAGATTAGGATGAGGGAAAAGTTCTCAACTTCAGAAAGAGGTTTTCAGGTTATTCGATTTACTCGCACTTGGAGGAGACTAACGTAAGAAAAATGATTTGCATTGATACTACTGTACATGTAGCAACATTCAATAAATATATGATGAACTAATGACATTTCTTTTAATGATGTAGATTAAATCATTCACTTCCTGAGTTTATGGAGGAAAAGAACTGTTAGTGCATACCTCTGTTTTTAAATTTTAAGAAGTGAGGAATGCAGATTATCAGGACATCTTTATTTATATCTGCCTATGACCCAAGTCAGCAAATATGCATGAGGACAGGTCAAAGGAAAAACAACACAGTCTCTACCTTAAAGCCATTTATAATAGAGAAGAGATTCAGGTACAGATAATTACCATGTCTCTGATGTTGATAAAAGAATTTCCTGTAGTTATCTTAGTGGTTGCTTTTCATATGAATCATATAGTGCTTCTATAAAGTATCCACTTTTCTCATAAAGTAGCATAAATGTCCTTAAAATTTAATGTAGCATAAATTTCCTTACAAAGCAGAGCCTATGTGATATGTTAGTTAAACCTCAATTAAAACAAAAAACAAAAAAAGTAGAAACTTCTTGAATTTACATAAGATCTAAGAGCTGCTTGAGGTGACAATACACAATAGTGTACTGTCAAATTTGATTGATGAAGCTGAAAATCATGTAAAGGTGGATTTTTGAAGCAGTTTTAAAGAGACACAGGTATTAATTTTATTAAGAAGCTATAATGAATAATTATTTCAGTAGAAACATTGAGAGCTTTGACCAAAGGGGACTACAGAATATAAAATTAAAGAAGGAAATTGGACCCATCAAATTCTGTAGGCAGAGAACAAGTTGACAAAAATACTCAGCTGTAAACACATAGTATTGCTATATGTCCTTCATGAAAAAGAAAGGATAATTCTGATTGTGGAGACTTGAGCCCAGAGAGCAGAAACATGAACCAATGAAAATTATTTTGAGACCTGCAAAGCTAATTGTTTGCTCAATTGGGTTTCAGATTTTCTTAGGACTGAGGACTTTTTTTTTTTTCCCCAAAGTGATTGTATCCACCCCTAACTTACTTATTTTTATTTTTTTAGATTTATTTATTTGGCCCCTCCCTGATAGTGTAGTGGGTTAAAGCAAGCTAGCTGCAGCAGCTTTAGCACAAGATCAATCCCCAGCCCTGTAGATGACCCACTAGTGCAGCAGACTGATCCTGTTTTGTCCGCTGCTCCCCTCAGCAGTGTACTTTGTCAGTCTGCCTGTTCTGCTCCCCACTCTGTCGCTGGTGAATCCTCTCACTGCCCCCTGCACCTCTGGCCTGTACCCGAGTTCTGTATGCATTGGGATATAGGCCAGATATGTGGGAGTGATGGTGAGAGGATTCATCGGAGACAGAGTAGAGAACAGACAGGAGGATGACTGAAACACACTGCTTTGTGGAGCAGCAGGCGAGGCAAGAGAGGACTGCTGTGCCATGTGGGTCAGCTCTCTGGCCAGGGATTGAACTGGTGCTGCAATGGCTGAGACTTAACCCCTTGTGCTGTCAGGGAGACCCCAACCCCTAATTTAAATTATTGAGATTATGGTATTTGGTATTTTGAGCTGATGGGAGTTACTTGAGATTTAGATTTGAGTTAATACTGTAATGCATTGAGACTTTTAGGGCTGTTGGAATAGGGGGTGATTTTATATATGGGATGGGTGTAAATCTTGGAAGCTAGGGGGCAGTCTATAATAGACAGATTGATGGCATCCATGTTGATCTCAAAAACTTGTGAATATATTACTTTATATAGAAAAGGGGGTTTTGAAGATTGGAACTAAGTTCTGGACTTTGAGATTGGAAGATTATCCTGAATTATCAATTAGGCTCAGTGTAACACAGTGATCGTTAAGAGTCAGGAATGTAAGAGAAAAATCTGTTGACATTGAAGATAAAAGAAGGCACGGCACTATGAACCAAGAAATGGAGGTTTTTAGAAGTTGGAAAAGACAAGGACACAGATAATCCCTTTGATCTGCAGAAGGAATGTAGATCTATGGATGCCTTGATATTAGCCCAGAGAGGCTTCCAACTTAGACAGTAGTATGACAGTAAATTTGTGTGGTGATAAGTGAGAAAATGTGTGCTAATCTTACTTCAACAGCAATAGGAATTAATACAAAAAAATATAAGCAAATTTTTCTTTTGTGATTTTAAGCTTTTTAAAATTATCTTAAATACACTTTATATTTAAATTATTATATATTTAACTTTAGTTACAAAATATAAAATATAAGGATGCTATTTAAAAAAAAGAAAAAATTACTACTGAACTTAAATGAGCCCAGTGTGCCACTTTTTGCCACTTTGGTTGACAGTTCTATTTCCTTTAATATAAAATAGGCCCTTCCTTGTGGCGCAGGGGGTTAAAGCACAGCACTAGAAGCTTAAGCCACTTCCTCATTAGTTTGATCCCTGCCTGCCCCAGAGGCGATCTGGACAGACCTCTCCTGACCCGCTGGTTGCTCCCCTCAGCAGTGTACTTTGTCGATCTGCCTGCTCTGCTTCCCACTCTGTCTCTGGTGAATCCTCTTACCCTCCGCATCTCTGGCCTGTACCCCAGTTCTTTATAAATAAATAAATCTTTTTTTTTTTTTTTTTAAAAATAACTCATCTTGCTGATATGGTCAGGATTTTACTATATGAGTGAAAAAACCAGAGAATTTTGAAACCACTTACTGTTTCCTTGTTCAATGGACAACACATGGATTCCTGATTGAGAAAGGCTTCCTTTTGCTTTGATCTAAAAGCAGAGTATTGAAAATATGTTCATTTTGAAAGGTACACATGAAACTTCCTTAAACATACTTATAATGTATAAATAAACTCTAATACAGAAGTTATTTTTGATCACAAAATCTTTCAGTATTTTTATGTAGTATATTTACATAATTTAATGGCATACTTAGAATTTTATAGTGTTTTACTTGACATTTACTACTTATCTTGAATACTGATATTCCAGATTTGAAAAGAAACAGAATGAAGGCAGATATAAAATATAACTAAGTATCGTGTATATAAAAAAGCTAAATATATTGACACTTTCAGTGTTCCAGGTTCTGAACTAAATAATTTTGTTTAAACATTTTATTTACACAGTGATTCCACGAAGTAGATATTAAAATTATATCCAGTATTCATGTGAAATGATTGACATTTTTGTTTATGGATGAGATTGGGTGAATTATCCAAGATCACATAACTAGAAAGCAATATAGCAAAGATTCATACTGCTACTTTTTTTATAGAAATAAGAAAATATTTGTAGTTAATGGTTCTATAAAGAATTTCCTACCCATAAGTTTTTCTGTTTAGGACTTATTTGGGTAACTAGTTTTTCTGTTTAGGACTTATTTGGGTAACTAGCAGCTCCAAATATTCTTAATTTCTGGACATAAATAGGCACATTAACTTCATGCCAATTTATAATATGTCTGTCAGTATACTTTCCCCTGAAATTATACCAGTGACAAGCTTAGTAAGTGATTTAAAATCTTAATATGTATTAAATGTTTCTTTTAAAGTTTAATTTTTACTTCTCTAATTAATGTCAAAATTGAATAATGCTCCAGAAGATTGTAATTTTTATTTCCTGTTGGAATTAGTTTTGATTCTTTCCTTTTCCTATTTCACCTATTGTTCTGAAAGAGATAATCTCTTTGCCTAACAAAATACTATTGAAATAGACCTTTCTCCTAGCCTCCTTCCTCTTCCATTCAATTTTGCACTGGAACACGGGAGAAAATACAAAAAACAAACTTAGACATTTTAGTGGAGTCCAGATCATCAATTAGAAATTAAAGCATTAATACTTTAAGAAGCAACTTCCGTTCAAGCATTAAAACTAAGCAGACAGAATCATACTGATATCTTACAAAGGGCATTACTTTGACACGGGTCTTTATAATTAGAAAAACTACAATGAATTTTACTCTTACCAAGTAATAGAATGTTAACTCTTTTTCATCCTTCAGAATCTGTTTATTCAGGATGTAGTGCACCCGGATCTTCTGGGTTTGCCCACAGGTCAAAGTACTGGTAATAAGTTCAAGATGAATGTAACTCTTGCTTGGGGAGAAAATCTGATTTACAGGCTGTATTGCTGGCCTATGAACCCCGTCCATCCACCACATATCGTGACACTGAGTATCATTTTTGTATCTGACCTAATGGGAGGAATAAAGAACTTAAATAGATTATTTATGACATAGCTGTTATTTGCCAGACATTTTACTTACTTGATTCAATTATAGGTTGTTTTCCCCCCAAAACAAAATCTGTAAGTGGTTTTTCCCTTAATTTTATACCATACTGACTTAGTAGATTTCAGTAGATATTACACATTCACAGCCAAGGTCAATTACATTTTCTTAATACCCTGATGTCTATAAATTGCATAAGATATTTTAAATATTCAACACACACACACACACACACACACACACAAACAGGTACACACAAAAAAAAAACAAGCAGACTAATTTGTAATAAAGTTGCAAAAATAACTGAAGTTTTTTGAGAGGGTATCAAGATGATTTATTAAAAATCCCCTAAAACTAGGTCATGCAGTAAACAGAGCCCATCTGAAGTCAGGTTTTATTGACAAAGAATTTTTTGTTTCTTATATCTTAGATCTCCCCTAACTTAATTTTTATTTTACTCTTTATATCCTCTTCTTTATTCTCACAGTTTATATGCTTCTAAAATATCCTTAAATTATGTGGTCTCAGTGATATGTACCTGTTTAGCCCCAAATGCTCCTTTCACTCACCAGAATTAAATTTAAAGGTTTTTCCAAGTTGGACGTGTCAATAGAAATATCCACCAAACCACGTTCATCAGTGGTCAGACTGAAGTGTGTTTCACTCACATGGACAACTACAGTTTCATTGGGGATTGGTTGATTCTTGCCATCAACTAGGAGAGCCTAGAAATATGAAAGTAGCAGGTGAGTGGTTATGAGAGTCATGTAGCAGTAACATCTGCCACTCTGTCATGTTTCCTCTTAGCCACAGAAGATCTTAGGAGCTTCTGGGTTCTACACAGGGATTTTCTTTTTGACGTTCGCATGCATGTTCATGTTGAGAGTGCCTAAAAGTGGACTCATGACTTCCTCAATTTTCTCCATCTCCAGTGTTTTGTATCTTGTGGTGGTGTATTATTTTTTGTTTGTAACTTGCTATGATTTCTTACTCTAAAAAAAAGAGTTCATTTTTATAATGAACTTTTATTTTGTGATATAAAATTAATTTTCTGAAAAGTCACATCCCTCAAATTATGATTAATTGCAAAGATATTTTTACCTGACCAAAGAAAGGTATCCCTGGTCTGTAAAATGAATCCACTTTTGTAAATTTTAGTATGCTTAAGACTTCTGTGATGTCACATGATCCATGCCCAGTTAATTCCAACCCTGAAAAATATATAATTGAAGTTGAGCTGTTCTGCATATTCAACTCAGCTCCTACCTCTATCCCAGCTTACCTCATCGTAACAAAATGCTGTCATATTCTTTTCTCATATTCATTCTAGAGTTTCTCACATTTAGAATATTGAGCATTTTGACACTGGCATTACATTCTCTTGTATCATATTCTAAAACTTTTCATTTAGCTTATTCTCTTCATTTGCTAAAATTATCTTTTAAAATATATTGGACTTTTATTATAACAGTATATTAGTTGATTGTCCTAAAAAAGGATGAAGATTGACAGCTCTGTTCAATGCTTTCTTTTGACTTCCAATGCTTTTGATAATGCAGTATATAGTTTTTTTTTTATATTTCCTAGCACCGACCAACATCTTCAGATTATTCCAAGACCGAGCCCATTTGTTCTTTTTCCTGCACTTTCCCAGACGATCATTCTATTTCCAAGTATCACCCAGTTTATAAAAATATGCTTAAATGCTACTTTATAAAGCTCTGTTCAGTTCTGTATTAGAATAAATTATCTCTTCCTATTCATTCAACATTTAGTTTTAGCATTGCTTATGGAAATTGTATAATGGAGATCTGCTTGTCTATAATTTTGTTTTAGATTTCTAATTTCTTGAGGGCAAAATCATGTCCATTTCATAGTTCCAGTGTCTTTCATGAATTGAAGGGTGATAAATGTTTAACGAATTAATAAATATTTTAAAATGTTATAAACCTGTTCCCTCCTCTCTGATCATGGCTTCTACTTGTATTGACATGTCGTAGCCTCTTTGTCTCAGCTGAAATGGTTTAGACTTCACAAGTTGTGTGAAACAGCCTTCATTGTCTGTCTGGAGAGAAAGGAAGCCAATTACTGGATTTTTTCATTTGCTATCAAAAAGATCAGTTATCACCAGTGAAAGATTTTTGTTGACTGTAGGAAGAAATTTACCAACATTTTAACTATCTTTCAGATGTTTATTCTTTTCCAAATCCAAAAACGACATAAAGTTTCCTCATTGATCCTCGAATTATTGTTAACCTCTCCTTTCTCCTCACTCTTCTGAAACCTGTCCCATTCTGCCACATTTCACTTTATTTTTATAAGTTTCTTTTGGCATATATCATTTCTTCAGTGATTACCTTCTTTCTCCTGTCATTATCTTGACCAATAGTAATTGCTTTACTAAAATAAATTAGACATAACATCTTCTAAGAAATCTCTGTAGCCATGTCCACCCAAAATCAATTGAAGATTTTATCTTCCTAACTATTTTTTTCACCAAATAGGACATTCATAAAAACATGTATATTCATTGATTAGGTGAATCCTTAGAGTAGCAGATTACCAAAGTAAATATTAAATTAGTGTAATAAACTTGTTTTTATTGTTAATTTATTTACATAAAGTTATTTATCAATATTTCCAGTTAATTTTATTGAGATAATGTTGGTTTTTAACATCATATTTGCTTTAGGGATTAGCAGTTCAAACCTCTACAACATAAAAATATCTATTGCACAATAAAGTTTAACCATATCTAATATATTTATAAAGGTGTCATGAGTCACTTGAGAATGAAAATTAATCTTAATCCCCCTTCTATATTAACATTTTGACTCTAGATTCATCTCATGTTTATCTTGACTTAAATCACTGTACTCATTAACCTAGCTTTTCGTTTATTGCTCTCTGCAGCTTCCATTACTCTCTTCCATACCTTTGTAATACCTGAGCACACTGCTGTATATTTCCTCTGAAATCACTAATTTATACATTTCTTTTTTTTTTAAAGATTTATTTATTTATGCATACAGAACTGGGGTACAGGCCAGAGGCTCAGGGGCGGTGAGAGGCTTCACCAGAGACAGAGTGGGGAACAGAACAGGCAGATTGACGAAGTACACTGCTGAAGGGAGCAGCGGGCGGGTCAGGAGAGGTCTGCCACGCCATGTGGTCTCCTCCGGGGCAGGCGGGAATCGAACTCATGCGGAAGCGGCTTTAGATTCTCAGTGCTGTGCTTTAACCTGCTGCGCCACCAGGGAGGGCCTATACATTTCATTTTTTATATATTTTCTAATTTTCTGCTTTTCCTCTTAGCTAGTCTTATTCCACTTCCTTGAGGTAATCAAAGCCTCCAGTCCTCTGTCTCTCATGGCTCCCTCTCCTTCCTCAACTGGATCAAGCTGGTTTTATATACAATTTAGATCCCATCACATGCCATTTGATTCTCCCACTTGTCAAGTTAATATCTGCAATACACTGTATTATGTTTGATTAAATCTATCATTGGATACACTCACAACCTTTTATGCCCTTATACTTAGTAAGTCGATTGTTGGAAAGAAATGACCATACTTGCTAAATAAATATCACAAATTCATGAACAAAACCCTAAAGTGGACTCAGCATTACCAGACAAATCTTGCAATTTTCCCTTACTCTGTAATTTTCCTAGGTGACAATTTTATACACTATTTGCTATTGTATCATGCTCACTATCATAGCCACAAGGAAACAAGATCTAATATTAACATTTTGGGGAAAGTGGTTTCCATATACCTCTTGAGTAAATTCCTCACAGATAATGGGTGTATAGCTTCTTTGGCACATCGGAAATTGTGTGGTATGTTTCCTGCATATATTCATCGTCACTAGGCCATGGACAGGCTTTCCATATGTGTATCTATAACAGTAAAGCAGTCATACAAAAGATATTAAATATAAAGAATTCAGGTGTTTTTTCATATGCTTTGATCCATTCCTATATCCATCTTATCACTCATGTAAAGCATTACATTTCCTTATTTAGGATTTCTACTTTTGAAGCTCTTTCTGAACTTGTATGAAATATGAGCACATCGACAACATTAAGAGAAAATACTTAATGAGTCTTTTTAGAAACACCCCCAAATGTAAAGTTAACAATGTGGTTATTCCCAGATCTTCCCTCTGAGTTGAAGTTTTACTGGAAGAGTGTTCTATTTCTTTCTCTCTCTGTCAGGTTATCTAAATTATGATTCCAGCATTGACAATACTCCCTAAAAATTGTTTTGAGTGGGAGGCATTAAGGATATCTAGAAAATATATTTCTAAGTCCTCCTTAATGTATTTTTAAAAAATACTTATTTATTTGTGCATACAGAACTGGGGTACAAGCCAGAGGTGCAGGGAGGTGAGAGGATTCACCAGAGACAGAGATGGGAGCAGAATAGGCAGATCGACGAAGTACACTGCTGAGGGGAGCAGCCAGCGGGAGAGGTCTGCCTCACCATGTGGATCACCTCCAGGGCAGGTGGGGATCAACTCATGCAGAATTGGCTTTTAGCTTTTCAGTGCTGTGCTTTAACCCACTGCGCCAGGGAGAGCTCCCTCCTTAATGTATTTTAAAGGGTAAATAATAAATGGGGAAGTGCTAGCTATAAAACAACAACTGTTATATATTAACCAAATCTTAATGATGTCATTTAATTCTGCCAAATGTGATGGAAAGACATAATATGTGATGGTCTGACTTTTTGTTCTGCCCCTGCTCCCAAGTTCCTATGTTGAAATCCTAAACCACAATGATGGCAGTATTAGAAGGTGAGAGCTTTGGGAGATATTTAGACCACTGGATTCTGTCTCATGAATGGCATTAATGCCCTTGTAGAAGAGGCTCCAGAGAGATCCCTTATCCCTTCCATCATGTGATGACTGTGATAAGGCACCAGTGACAGATGAGGAAGAGCACCTTCAGCAGAATGTGATCCTGCTGGTACCTTAATCTTGGACTTCCCAGTCTCCACGCTCTGAGCAGTACATTTTTGTTGTTTATAATCTACACAGTGTATAGTATTTCGTTGTGTAACAGTGTGAATGGACTAAGACATGTTGTGAAGCTGAACCAAGTCTACTATTTCTCAAGGTATGTTTCATTGGGCACTTACATTAAAATTGTCTGGGATATGTAGAAAGATTCAGAGTGCTAAATCTTTCCTCAGATAGATGGTTAGATCTTTGAAGATGAATTAAGGAGCCCACATTTTAATTAAACACTCCTGTAGATTTTGATGCACACTTAAGTTTGAACCCTATTGGCTTCAGCCCAAACAATGTGCTTGCTGAGATTTGGCCTCAAGTTTTTTTCTCAAGTGTTTATAATGTCAAAAATTATTTATTTTCAGTCACTTGGTTGAATCTTATCTTTAATGTTGGATCTAAAGGCGTTCCTTCAGACCCTGGTGCTTTGGTGGCAGGAGAGCTATGGGGACCACACCCAAGGGGAGAAATCCTGCACTGTCAAAAACATTAACATGGATGTAAAACAATGACACTGCATTGAAATTTTAAAGTATTTTTAAAAAGGCTTTTTTTGTCTGATGAAAAGTTTAAAGCAACAAAGCTGTTAAGAAGGATGAAACATGTTTCTCATGGTGTTTTCAAAAGCAGGAATGAATGTCCTTGTTCTTGGACCTAGAGGAGAATGCCCTAGTGCAGCTATCTCCAATCACAGGGTTAATTTAAGAGTAAAAATGTTAATAAATGCAATACACGTAGAACATTGTCTGGCTCATTTTAAGTGCTCAATAAGTGACTTTATTACTAGTCATAACAATGTAATAGTCTAGTGATTCTACTCCCTAGTCACGGTGCAGGCATGTTGGAAAGAGGGTCTTCTCTAATCAAATACTTGAAAGTCCAATAAAACTACTTGAAATACAAACAGTAGGGAAATAGAAGCAAAGTGGAAAAAGAAATGTAACTTACTGGCCACATGTAGAGACTGTAAACTCTTCATCTTCAAGGGCAACACTCTTGGGCATTTTCACATGGACTTCAAATTTGGGCAAAACTGTCATCAAAAGAGGGGAAGAAGAGGTGAGAGTTGGAAGAAAGCCTTGCAAGTACTAGTCATGGTTCTAATACTTTATAGCATGGAGTCATCTGAAGTGATTTCAATTACAATAAGGAGCAGAGCGCCAAAAATGATAAAGGATTTGCTGTCCATCAACAGGGCAACTTTGTACTATGTTCACTTGGATAAGTTGGTGTTAGGTTTCCTAACATCTCTGAATTTGTTCAGTAATTCAGGGATGGAAGGAAACAGCAGCACTGCTCTCTGAAGGTTTTCATGGTTACTTGTGGTAACAGGTTCAGTGGCACGAGTTGGTTCCTATTTGCTGCCTTTTCATCTCTGTGTCCAGCTCTTCCTCCCAACTGGAAGCTCTGCTGATTAACCTGGCCCATGACCCAGCTCCATATTGGTAATGGAAATACTAACACTGCTGCTATAAAGGGGTAAAAGCCTTCCACAGGTTCTCCTGTCAGTGATCTGCTCTGGCCGCTCAAGCTGCCAGGCTTCCCAGGCCCCTTGCAAGTTACTTTTCTATCCCACCGCAGCTCTCTGGTGGATCTAATGCTTAGGATTTGGGACTCTTTCTTTCTCTCCACTGCACTTCAGGACAACTGATTGGTAAGTTTCTTAGATCCACCAATTCCTCCTGAGGGATCCTTACTTTTCTAGTCTTTCCCAGACTTATGATGTGTTGTTCCTATAATAAATCCCTGTTCTGTAGTGCTCATGGCAGTTCTGTTACTCTCATGGCTGTTCTGGGAATCATGTTTTTTTGTGATAGGACTCCTCATCCATGACATGACACCCTTAATTTACATCACACAATTCACATAACTGATAATAAAACTACTTCAATATCTGATGGCTGTGATTAGGGTAGGGTAGGTATAAGTTACTGGTAGCCAGGGGATAATCTTAAGGGGATACCTTCAGTTATAGGACACAGCAACAGATCATACCTTTAGATGACATAACATGTTATGTAATTTTTGTTTGAATACTGTCAAATGTACTTACTCAATTCTTTCTGGCCTCTTTTTGGCCCTATAATTTTGGTAAATTTATAACTTTTCTAGTATTGATAAGACCCATTAAAGGAAGATACTATGTAGTTGTCTCATAAGGCTGTTGAGGATTAAGTGAGATGGTGCATGAAATGTATTAGCAAATATTCAACTAAATAAAAAAAAGAGGTACTTGCTAATTTTCAACTATTATATGTTAAATTCTTTCTTGTCACCTATGTTTAAAAACTATTTAGTCTTAAATACTAAAATGGCATAAATGCTTTGGACACTTTTAGAGTTCTTACCGTATTCACTGACATCAAAGGAGTGCTCAATTTTCTTCCCTGATCTCTTCTGCAGCACAACCTTGTAGGATCCCAGAATGGGCTCCATGGAGAGTGGGAAAGAGAGCTGGCTGAGGCCGCCTTGCAGTTTGAGATTTTGCCATTGGACAATTCGGTTCCTTTGGGGGTTCTATAAGTAAAAACATGATGAGTTCATAGGAACAATTGAAACATCTTCTTCTCAGTAGGACTGCTTTTCAGGGTGATATTGTAAGTTAGATAACATAGTAAATTGGCATCAAAGATGAGCAAGGTTTTCTAGGAATATTAGTAGACAAAAAAAATCACAGTAATTTTGTCATCAATAAGATTATGCAGATTACAGTACGTCTTTTTGAGATTATGTGTATCCATATTGGTCAGGAATATAGGGAGTGTCATTAAATTGCATCATCTCAAGGAATTTTGTTACTTCATTTACATTTTCTCCACTTTCCAAAGGATGTTAGTTTGACAGGGAAACCAGTATTCAGTTTTGGTGAAGAGTTAGTGGGCAGTGAGGAGGTGGAGAGGCAATTTACCATGATATTTATAGTAAGTCCTCCTTCCAGTTGAGATACATAATGTGTTACCTACCTCAATATACACCACTGGGAACTGAAAAAGAAAGAAATGGTTAGCAAGAGAAAATTGTGACATCAGCTTTGATAGAGTATCTGGATCAGAAAAAGTGGGTTTGTGTATTTCTTGTACAAACACAGAAATGAAGCCCAGTTTAGTTCATGGCCCTTATGCTTGGGACATGCATAACGTTCAAATGTTATTTTTTAATATTTAGCTCAGACATTGCCCATTTCTCTAAGCAAGAAATAAAATGTGTTTCTTCTTTCGTTTGTTCAACACAAATAACTGGGATCTTTAAAAGGATAATGTTAACTGAATAGCATATATATATATATATATACATATATATATACATACATATATATATGTATATTTAAATAAGTTTATTTTTACATCATTTTGTTACCTTTTTCCATCTCAGTTGGAATCCCCATGGGCTTCCCATCACCAATTCCCCCATGTGCCATCACCATAGTCTAGTGCATTCTTCCCTGTCCAACACTATTCCCTTCTCCACCCCCATACAATGTCTGGTACATAGTTGTTCAGAATGTAGGTGATGAACTGATCTGCATTATTCATCATGGCATCCTTGTGAAATCTTTCTGTGGTAATTTTAAGTACCCTGTATTGGTCTCAGGTTGTCCAAAAGATTGGATTTTATATTTTTGTCTGTTTTTCACAATCTCACCCATTGCTATGAAACTCACCATTTCATCCAAAGGGTGAAAACTGATATCCACAGAGACAATGCGGAATTTCACTGAAACAAAGAGATTTTCCCTATGAAGCTTTCCAATGGGAGTCTGAGGCAGGAACACAGACCGCGACAATCCAGGCTCTCCATGACTGTGGGACAAAGCAATAGCAGCAACAACCCACTGCTCCCACCCCCCTCACCATGGCCTTTGCTTACATGGTTCCTCATACCTGTTTGTTCTGGTTTGTAGATAGGTTTGTCTGTCTGGACAAAGACTAGGCTCTCTGCTGCTCTCAAGTAAATTTCCCTCCTCTTTACAAAATTCTGGGTTGGCCCAATCACCTGCACAGTGATGAAGGCTGACGTTTGTGACAGCGTTGGAATCTGTAAAACAAAAATGACCTGAAGAACTTTCCCAGGCCTGTACCTGATGTCTCAACCTTTATGATTTTCTCTTTTCTCTGATTAGTCCCATGAAAATTAGGAAGGAATAAGGCCTGGTGTTTTATAGATGAGTAGGTTGTACAAGATCACAGTAACAATTCAATTATTTAATTCAGGGGGAAGATGTCATTACACTAAAATGATATAAATCTTCAACCAGTCATATCAACGAAGGAAATAACATGCTTGTATTTTCACAAGATGTAGCATTAAAATAATTATTAATTGTATTCTCCAGTGGTCCACATCAACATTCTGCATTATAAGCCAGTGTACCTAGTTAAATATTGAATATCTTAAGTTTGGAAGGACAATACATTAGTCATCAACCATCTGAGAGATAAGTCAGCTATATTTATGAATCTTAGTGTTTATATCTGTAAACACATCAACATTATTTACCTCAAGTTTAAGAGAAGTAAGATCCTTCCTATAACTTCTGTTACCTTTCTTATGGTGCAGTATCAGTTTGTAAATATTATGTCAGCCTATTCAGCAGAAATTTCACTTTAGAATCTCATTTGACATTCAACCTGCATTTATTTTGTCTTCATGTTGCTCTTTTATTGTTGGGAGTCAGGACACAGGGCATCAACATACTAAGCCCCTCTTTGTCTACCCATCTCCCTTATCTGAAGGAATGATACTGACGACAAGAGGCCTGCAGTAGTGGGAGTTCTTCTTTGTCACCAGGTGTGTGAGGAGGTTCGTGGTCTGTATTCCATACTCCAGGATCACATTCAAGGTCACTGTCTCATTCATGTGACTGAGGAGGACACAGGCCTTCTCAGGAACCCCAACAAACAGCTGTGATGGAACAAGCACCAGATACTGTCTGTGGAGAAGAGAGGTCTGGGTCAACCAAGGGGAGGCTAAACAGGTGACTGCTCTGGCTGCCTTCTAGAGACTCTCTGCTGTCATCACTGTTCATAAAACAGGACAAGATTTCAGCAGGAAGGTAGAGGTGTGGATTCTTTAAAGGCCTTAAGAACTCAGAAAGAGTGAATAAATTAAACATTGACATATTTCAATGTGCCCTCTTGTAAATTTAGTCATAAGCTATAGATAAGTAATACACTAGTTGTTACATATTTTGGATAGGGAGGATTTTTAAGAATAGTAATAGATCAAGAAAATGGATCCATAATGGACTATTATTCAGTCATCTAAAAAGGAGATCCTACCATTTGCAATAACATGGATGGAACTTGAGGGAATTAGGGTAAGCGGAATAAGTCATACAGATAAAGTGAAAACTGCATGGTTTCACTTACATGTGGAATCTTAAAAAAAAAAGCCAAACTTGTGGAGACAGTAAAGTGGCTGCCAGCAGCTAAGATGAGAGAAATAGGGGATGTTTGGTAAAAGGAGACAAAGGAGTTATAAAATTATTCATGTCTGAGGAGATACTCTATAACTTGCTACTATAGTTAATAACACTATATTGTACAATTTAAATTTGGCAAGACAAATTTCACACACAAAATATGTGCAAATTAGATATATTAATTAACAGGGGGAATTTTTTCACAATGTATACTTATATTAAATCAGTAAGTACTACACCTTAAATATCTTATTTGTCCATTAGTAAAGCTGAAAAAAAATAGCAACAAGAAATGTGGTTGGTTAATCATCCCTGAAAGTCTTAAGAATCTAGTTGCATGTGGTCTTGGGTATCATATGGATTCTCTCACAGATTTCAGGAGTGTCTTTGTTCCAGGACTAACGAGGTAACTTTTAAAGCATAGAAAAGTCCTAAACTGCTTCAGAAGCAACCTTAGCTTTTTTCTTTCACTGCCTGGTGATGGGAGACAAGCTGAGCCAAGCCAGGCTAATGTTCTTATTATTACCCCCAGACACGTTGCCATGGTACCCAGGAGAAATATCATTTACCTGCCACTCTGCTTGCCATTTGCAATGACCACAACCTGCTCACTGTGACACTCTGCTGTTTTTGCCCCTCTATTTGCTTCATAAAACTGATCTCGAAAGTAACTTTCCCCTATAGGGGTGTCTGGGGACACCCCTTCCCTGATACCTGGCCCCAAGAAGAGTTTGGTTTTCTCTGTGAGTATTCGCCAGAACCCTGTAGTGCTGGATTTTGTGTTAGCACTGGATTGCATTCAGTGCATAGTCTCTTTTTCTGTGCTGTGTGATACTGAAAACAGGGTTTATACTTTATTGATCTGTATTTCTTAACCTAATACCTAGTCCTGAAGGTTTACTGAAAGGTGAAATGAGCTGACACACAAATCTTGGTTTATCTGTAAACAGGCATCACCTATCTTGGCAACCCCTGGCTTGGGGAAAACAGTCACTGAGTCACTTTATGGTGCTCAAGACACTGATGCTTTTAGGAGACAATAAAGAATTTATCTTTTGTGAGGTTGGAATTCTCTGTTTTTACTTGATGAGTGGTATCTAAATCTGCATTCTTACTTGGGTAGTGCTTCACAACTATCACTACCCTAGGTTTCTGAGTCTCTTAGACTTGGAGTATTGCTCTTTCCAAATGAGCTGTAATAATATACTAACCCTGCCAAGTACTTTGAACTGCAGGTACTATCACAGGAAATCAGGAAATACATCAAAAGAAGGACACCAAAAAGCAAATAAGACAGTGAGAGAGAATGAAGATATAATTTTCTGCAAATGTTGCTTACGGTTTTGGAGCAGCTGAAGCGTCTCTGAGAAGTAGCAGGAAAAGTAGAATCAGGACCACACTGGGCATTTTGCGTCCCCTCATGTTGTAGAGAAGAATAGGAATGGGGAGAGTCTGAGCTCTATTCTTGTTTTGAATCACTTGTTTTTATAGTATCTGATGGCAGTTACAGTAAACTACAATCATTTATTTTTGTGACATAAAAACTACATCTGGTATTAAAAAAAATATTGGATCATTTCCATGATCAGCAGTTTTCTTTCATCCACTTGCTCAAATTTTCTAAACCTTTCAAAAACATTATTTTTTGGCTATACTGGCTCTGGTTATTAATCAATACTTGAAGTGTTTTTAAGAAAAACAAAATAACTTACGTGATTTAATGAAATCAATCACATTCTTAGCTCTCTTTTCCTTTCTTTGTAATGAACTATTAGTATACACATCCCAAATATCCTTCCAAGCTTCATCCTACACAGTTCTTTAATGAAACAAAGAATATTTATGACAGAATTTTAAATAAAATAGGCTTGAAGACAATCTCTCCATTTCTTAAAAACTTAACTTTTACTTTTTATGGCTATCCTTATATTTGTTTATAAAGAAAATGACCATTCAATTTTATGAAACAAACCTTGTAATAAATACTTAGTGGTTTTTATTTCATTTAACATCTAGAATATAGTCTTTATTTTGTTTTCCAATTATTTTTACTTGATGAACCTCTTATTTAATCTAACTTTGAGCTTTATACAAATATTTTACCAATTCATCATTCCCTTTGCCTTCTAAGGGAGTTTGGGATGTTAAAATCTATTTTCATGGAATTTTGAAAATAAACATCCACAGTTAATGTTATTGTTTCACAAAGACTGAATTGGACATATTCAAGTAAAGAATTGGTTTAAACTATAAAGTAGGATATATAGTATATTTAGGTGTATTTTGTTCTTGACACTTTTTTTTATGCTACAAGAGTGAGAAGATCGTATGTACCATATACCATAACCTTTCATGAACTGTGAAACTACACAGATGTAAGATAATAGAATTCCGTAAAAATTACATCTACAAATGATATAAAGCCAAAACAAGCAGAATAAACTATAATATGAGTCAAATGTAATAATAAGTTGCACAAGCCTTTTGGTAGTCGGCAAATGCTTGCTGCTGCATGAATAGGAAACTCTTCTGCTTCATTCTGATTTTTGCTTTCTTCACTGCCACTAATTCTACTAGCTTCCATTCCTATTATGCCACAAATAAATACCCTTGTTTTTCTACCAGCTTAATATAGGAAAATTTGATTTATTTATTTTTATTTTTGAAAGATTTGTTTATTTATGCATACAGAACTTGGGTACAGGCCAGAGGTGCAGAGGCAGTGAGAGGCTTCACCAGAGACAGAGTGGGGAGCAGAACAGGCCGATCAATGAAGCACACTGCTAAGGGGAGCAGTGGCAGGTCAGGAGAGGTCTGCCACGCCATGTGGTCACCTCTGGGGCCGGGAATTGAACTTAAGCTGAATGCCTTTAGCTTCTTAGTGCTGTGCTTTAACCCGCTGCACCACCATGGAGGGCCCGGAAAATTTGATTTTTAATAAATAGAATATTCAGAGGTCTCTACAGAGCTTTTCCTTGGTGTAATTATATTTTGGGGATATGCACTAGATCTGTATTTTAGCCAAATGACTAATGTGAATGTCCACTTTGAATGAAACAAAAATTATTATCATCATAGTTTAGACTACTGGAATGCAAGAATAAATATGAAGTGTTAGTAAAACTTCTATCATTCTGATTTTTAATTGATATAGTTAGTAGCTAGATTTTAAATATTATAGGACAATATTGTCAGCATTCTCAGCTGAGACTTTTATACACCTGTGGTCTTCAAACTTTTTCTTGCACTCTTTAATTTTATTAATCACGTAACTCTTCACACCTATATAACTTGGCTAAATTTCTAAAATTTTTCATCGTGACCAACATGACCACGTTTATCATACCTACATGAAAAATATGAAACTATATGTCATCTTTTGAATATATTCAATGAAAAGTAAGTAATTCAGTTTTTTGCTGCCAACCATCATCCACATACCTGATGGGCAACTATAGATCAGAGACATTCTGTAGGGAAGGAGGAGGGAGAAGGACCAGGAGAGGGGTGGGAAGAACACAGGGGACTGTGGTGATCGTGCCTGGGGGAACAGGAGGTGGGAACTGCACAGGGAAATCATACATTGTACAAAAATGAAGGGTGATGTAATGAATATATTAAAAAAAACCTGATGATTATTCTTGATATTTTATTATTTTACTTTATTATTTGTTAATATTTTTATTGAAATTCCACAGATAAGTTTATCCTTATAATTCATGATTTAATGTATTTTAATCTTTACCCTATCATACACTTACCAAATGAAAGATAATCAAAATGATTTTAAAAGTTATTAAAAAATAATTTTTGCAAAAGGAACTCTCTCACATTGCTGGTGGCAGTGCATACTGGTACAACCACTATGGAAAATTGTATGGAGATTCCTCGGACTACTAAAAATGGAGCTACCATATGACCCAGCAATTCCATTCCTAGGGATCTACTCAAAGAACATATAAACATTCAAAGGATACCTGCACTGTGTTTATTGCAGCACTATTTACAGTAGGTAAAACCTGGAAAGAATCCAAATGATCCAAAATAGATGATTGGATCAAGAAGATAATCTGTCTATCTATCTATCTAGGTAGATATATCTACATACACACAATGGAATAGTACTAAGCAATAAAAAAGATAAACTCATGCCATTCACAGCAAAATAGAAGAGCTAGAAGGAATTATGTTCATTGAAATAAGTCAAAAGGAAAAATAAAAATAGCAGATGGTTTCACTTATTGAAGGAATGCAAGGGAACCAAATAAGACATCAGGGGGAAAAATAATAATACAAAACAAAGCAAAGACAAACAGGCACTTATAAACCAGAGACATCCTGCTCGGGAGGGATTGTAGTGATGGTTCACAGGTGAATTGGGCAGGAAATTATAGGGGGAACTAAACATTGTTCAAAAATGAACAATGATGTAAAATATATATAGATTAAAAATATTTTTTCTGGATTGAGTTGTCATTACAAGTATTTACAGTATTATCACATTTCTACAGTTTTATATAGTCTTATTTCTGCTTATCAAAACTATGCATGTAAACTATAATCTCTACAAGCATTAAATAGTAGAAATAAACTTTGTATAAAAAAACCTTTCTTAATTAGATAAGTTGTGTATTTTCTCTATCAGTCTCCCCCATTCACATTTATCATTTGATGCATATTACTTAAAGCTAAATTAAAAAAATTTTAACTATTCTTTTCCTATTTTTTGACTGCACTTTTTCTACTCTGGAATATTTCTAGTCTATTTCATTTTCTTTAGTTGTAAGGCCCAAGAAATCTTGTTTATATGCGAGAGAAATGAGAAAAGTTCTATTATAATACATAATTACTTAAGCATCTAGTTACAAATCAAGGATCACATTGTGTTCACCACTTAAAATAATTTTAATTATCTATCAACAGATAAATAAAATATGTCTTCTTTACTGTTATTCAAAGCAAAGCACTGGGCCTTAGCTCAAATGCAAAGGAATTTGGAACACAGTCATTAGAATCACTTTCATTTTCAGTTTCTGGAAACTACGCAATGAAGGCTTACCAAAACTGATAAATTACTACCAGTGGTTGCTTTCTTAGTTAATGACACCTGATAACTCATAGAAATTGAAATACTAACTTAAACATGCTTCTGTCAATAAAAACAATCTACAAGATGCATTTATCTTTTCATCAAAACTGGCTGAAAAACTTCTAGAAAATGTAAAGAAATAATTTGTTCTTTGTAAAGAAATAATTTGTTTAATCAATCAAATTTACTTACTGATGATAGAGGGGAAAAAGCACTACTTTATTTTTAATTCTAATAAACTCCAAAATTGACATGCCAGTGACTATATTCTGTTTGTGCCCCCACAATTTGTTTGGGGGGAGTTAGAATTGCTGGCATATGCAGAATGAAATTACAACAACTCACATTAATGCATATGGGACATCCATAGTGATGTTTTCAATGAGTAAAAGGTTGGGAAATACTGGCTGTGATAATTTTTCTTCCATGATAACTTGCTTAATTCCTGTATATATTATTTTCCATGTGAATACTTGGCCTGGTGGAAAGCAGACTGGAAAATTCTGGGACTTAATGGACATGCTTCAATCTTCAAGGATTTCTGGTGCAGAATCTCAGAGGTATGACAACTGTACTCTTCTGCATATTGAAATTGATATCTAATATTACTGTTGAAACATTAAATTCTTAATTTTTTGTTTACCAGTTGTAGAAACTATACATTTTGTAGCATGAGTTATTGTCTGTATTGGCATAGTGAATGCTGTTCGGTGAAATAGATTTTTGAGAGCTTTATAGAATTACAGTTGTCAATCAATAAAAAAATGCCCCATTTTCTGGGCTAATTAAAAAGACTCAGTATTGCTACTGAGACTAGTGGGGTTGATTGAACTATGGGTCTTCCATCCTGTCTTATTCAGGATTACAGTATAGTAGTTTGTTCTTACACATCATTAAAAACTTCCCTGGTAGAAAATTGTTCTATTCAGTCCAACCTTTTTCCTTAACTAAATCACCAATAGAAGTTTTATTAGAAGAATGACTTTTCCATATCTGTACACACCCCTATCCCATGATCCCCAGGTCACACATCCAACCTGCTGACTCCCCTACTTTGTTTCAGCCTACTGAGCTCCTTGAGAACATATTAATCTTCGATGAAGTTAGACTCTTACTGCTTCTGTGTCAGTCTAAGACCTGAATAGCGTATATCACTTCTCATCTTTTTGATACTGTACCTGGCAACCAGTTTTACCCATACCACCAATTTTCCTCTCCATACCACACATTTAGGCAGATGACTTTGCTTCTTGTCTGCTAGAGCAGGGAAGGGTCAGTGTTCTCAGAATATTTTACAGTATGTCCACAGGTAGTAGGTAAAGAAAACACATATTATTAAATAAGGATTAAGCCACTAAGTGATTGCATCACAAACAATCTACTAAGAGGTTACATAACAAAAAGAAATCCTTATATAGCCAGGGTGATTCAACCTATTATATATGTGTTCTCAAGATAATTAATCACTAGTCTTTAAGAACTTGACAGCACAATTTATCACACAAAATTCATTCTAGATTTACATGGTGATTAGCCACTCATCTCTGTTAATTGTCTTTATCCAAAAGGAAAGTATTTCTGTATCTTTATGACAGTTTTACACCTTGTAACAAATTATTCATCGAAGTCAGCTCCTCCCCTTTCTCAGAAACTGGAGGTAGAAATGCTGTCTCCCTTGGTGTTTACATGTAAAAGATATGACTCCTGGGCACTTGATAGGTCCTTTCTGGGTCATAATCTAAAGATCTGTCTCATTCTTAAAAAGATCATAATTTCAAACAGTGGAAAGTCTTAAATGTAAGTTTTCTAAAGTTAGTGTCCTAAGAAATCTCTTCAATTATGGTCACATTGAACAATTTTAAAGTTTTATTTGCCCTTAAACTCTATAAAAATAGACTTCTAATTGCTATTATGTGTCATCCTGATTGGGCTAAAGGATGCCCACTTAACTGGTGAAGTAATATTTCTGGGTGTGTCTGTGAGTGTTTCTGAAGGTGATTAGCATTTGAATTGTTAGAATGAGCAAAAATTACAACTCTCACCAAAGAAAAGGACATCACACAATCCACTGAGGACCTGCACAGAACAAACAAGCAGAAAAAGGGTGAATTTGTTCTTTGTATGAAATGGGATAGCCATCTCCACCTTCTCTTGGACATTGGTGCTACTGGTTGTCAAGCCTTTGGGTTTGTACTGAACTACACACTTGGTTTCTTGGTGGTGTAGTTTGAAGATTGTTGAACCTCTCGAATTAGAACTGAGAAATGATTACTTAGGAAAAAAACTTTCCTACCAAGAGACATTATTTATTATGAAGTAAATTCCCTTCACTTTCACTGATTTTTTTTTATTTATTTATTCGTACAGAACTGGGGTACAGGCCAGAGATGCGGAGGGTGAGAGGATTCACCAGAGACAGAGCGGGAAGCAGAACAGGCAGATCAATGAAGTACACTGCTGAGGGGAGCAGCGGGCGGGTCAGGAGAGGTCTGCCGCACCATGTGGTCACCTCCGGGGCAAGGGGGGATTGAACTCATGCGGAAGTGACTTTACTTTCTCAGTGCAGTGCTTTAACCCGCTGCGCCACCAGGGAGGACCACTTTCACTGATTTTTGAACACAAAATGTTCTAGAAGAATCACATTGCCTTGAACCTGGGATGGTTTTTTAAAAATAGACTATTGATATTTATTCATGTGATATGGCATGTTTTGGCAAACCAGAAAGACTGAGGTTTAAAGAAATCTTAACAAAGTAAGATAAACATTTGTAGCCATAGGAATGACCTGAAACCACCAGTCTATCTATGGTGAATCAAACAATAACACGTTTTAAGGACCCACTTGTAATTTAGGAGCTGCTAGAGTTACACATAGGCACAAAAGACTTCAAGAAGAGAAAGTAGCCATCTAGCCATCTTCTATTTAAAACACTGTTTAATTTGTTGAATACTGACAGAGTCTAGGGTACTCTGCAATTTTTTTTTTGTGATTCCGCAACTGGAGAACCTATCTGTAACTCTTTTCTTATCTATAGCAGAATTTTAGAAGAGTCAGAAGTCAGTAGGGAAATTGTTTTCACTTCCAAGCATATTTTCTCCAGTTTCTCCCTGCCTGTAACTTATCAAATTAATTCACTGCTGTAACAGTAGTGTTAAGGAAAGGATATGCACTGTATGTTGTTTTTCAGTAATAAGTGATAAATTTAGAATATTAAGATGATTTTTTTCCAGAAAATACTTTTTATAGACAAAATTCCCTTGAATTATGCTCTTGATTATGTATATGAAATCTACAAACCACAGCTACCATTTGACTTTCCCTTTATTCTTTGAAGATCTTTCACTGAGAATAATCTGTGTATTTTGCTTTTATGTATTTCTTTTATCCCCTTGAGTTCATATGAAGTCCTTACCAACTTAGTTTCCCTCACACCTCCCACTAGCCCTGGCTTTTTTTTTCTCTTTCTCTTTCTCTGCATTTTGGAGGATTCCCTAGTGTATCAAAATATCTAAAAACTTGAATTCAGAATTGATAACAAAGCAAATTACTAAAGTTGTTATCAAACAAAGCCTCGAGTTGTTTAGTATCAAAGTTATAGATGATTATACTAAATGAAAAGAAAATCATTGACTCAGGTATTAAATCACTGCATTTAATGGAATCATAGGGAAATAAAATCTGATACAAAGCTGTAGCAGATTCTAGACTATTCCAGATGTGAGATGGCTCATGGCATAGCTTTCTTATAGATTTGATACAGAATGAGTTTGTTCAAAGTAAACAGCTTTGCACCTGAAATTTAAAAACATAAATAAAAATTAAATGTGTGTACATATATATGTACACATAGATGTAGGTAAACATGCACATATACATACAAACCCATACACACAACACATACATGACTATTATACATATATACACATTTTTTTGACATCAATGTATAAAACAAAGATGAGTTTTTGTTTGTTTTTAAAGAGTTATTTATTCATGCATACAAGAAGTGGAGGACAGGCCAAAGGTGCAGGGAGTGAGAGGATTAACCAGGGACAGAGTGGGGAGCAAAACAGGCAGATTGACTGAAGTATACTGCTGAAGAGACTTCTTTTTGCCTCATCCTTTTTTTGTTTGTGTCTTTTTTCTTTTTTTAAAGACTTATTTATTTATGTATATAAGAGATGGGGTACAGGCCAGAGGTGCAGGGTGGGGGTTGTGTGAGAGGATTCACAAAAGACAGAGTGAGGAGCAGAATAGGCAGTTCTACTGAAATACACTACCTAGGGGAGCAGCAGACAAGACAGGAGAGATCTGCTACCACGTGGTTTACTCCCTTGCAGGGGACTGAACTTGTGCTGCAGTGGCTGTGGATAGCTTCATAATGCTGGGTTTAACCCATTGCGCCACCAGGAAAACCCCTCCATTTTCTTATTAGATGCATTCAGTCTGTATGTATGCTTTTCCTTACCGTTTCCTGTGTTTTGTTTTTTGTATCATTGGGAAACTGCAACACTCTTGATGGTGTAAGAAACAAGGGCATATTCATCTGGCAAGTAAAGGGAAAGTTCAACTATATTAAATCTCCAACTTTGTATAACCAGATTATTTCAAAAAACAGATAAAGTAGGGTTAATCTTTCCAATAATTTTGTAAGATAGTCTATCACTTCTTCATTTTCTAAATCCAGAAATATCCTATTAAACTTAAGACACTTGTTGAAGTACATTCAGCTAATTAATGACAATGTCCAGGATTCAAGTATTACTTCTTTATAAACTTTCTATGTCTCTCAGCAAGAAACTAATAACACTAGTAACTGTCCAAGCAAAACATTTTAATTCTTCATTCACTGCTTAGTCACTTTTTCTGGAAATTAATGTGTGAAGAGTTTTCCTGTAATATTTCAGAATGTTGTCCACTTCCCTTCTCAAATCAAAGGTCACAGAGGCTTCCTTGGTGTTAATAGGAGCTGGGAATTTAGCATAATTTGTATTTCAAGTTAAAGGAGAACTTTTTCACATTATATCAAAAGCATTATAGGTATTGAAAAGCTTTGGTCACTGGAAAATGATCAGTAAAAAGATTTATCAGTGAGTAAATATATGAATATATATATGTAAATATATATTTATATACATATACATATGTATATATGCCTTCATTGTTAGTATTTAAAGATAGAGGATGACATTGGAAAATATAATAGCTCATGGAATCTTATGTATAACTACTATGTTCAGTTTTAGAGCATGATTATTGCTTGCCTACCTTTATCATAATAATTGTAGATCAGAACTGATGCTGGCTGAATGTTGGATACAAAGTTGCTTTGCTCAACAGAGAAAGTAAAACGCTGTGCCTTACCAAAAACCTATAAAATACAAATTACAAATATGTCAAAGCATGTCTGCAAAAAGAAAATCACTGAAGAAATTACTTTCCAAAGTTCATGATCTGCCCAGTTGAATAGATCTAGAATATTGACATCTGACATAATGACAAAGTAATGGGTTAAGTAACATTAAATTGTATAAAATTTTATTTTTCATTGCTTATATTAGGGCAAAGAATTCTAACTGAGATGTTTGGGTAATGTAGGCATTGATATGAATGGTAGTGATGGGCACCTGGAAGAGATGAGTGAAAATCACACCAGCCTTTGTTGAAGTTCAAATTAACTACAAAAAGAATTATGTATTTATTCTGTGATGAGACTGTATTAGTTGATCTGAGGAATAAGAAACAGGGAAATTATGTACTAAACTTAAGAATTATCTAATTAAGGTAGCAAACACAGATATAGAATAAACTAGAATTAATGGGGGAGAGATAAGATTATTAGTGGAACAGAACGCTAGTCCTCTTTAATGTCCCCAATTTTTCTAACAAACTGTATTGTATATATTTACAAAAAACCCTATGGGTATATACCTATGCCAGTTACTCTCAGGAGAAAACAAGAAAGTCACGGAAGAAACAAAATACTGTTCAACTTGCATTTTCCAAGTAGAAAAGAACATGGTCGTTCTTGACTTCAGTCTTTGTCACATGGCCATTATTTTCAAGCTTTGAAGAAATTGACAGGAAGAGATGGAGGATAGATATTAATAAGTTCCAGAATGGTTGCTTCAGGTCTTTTCTTAATCAATTATAAGGAATCTATTTTATGGAATACTCCCACGTGCTATGATCAATTCAAGAAGGAACTAAATCAATATAAATTAAGAGCACCATCCCTCCAGTGTTACAACACAAATGAAAATGGGAACTCAAGTAACTTAAAAGAAGACGTTCATAACTAGGTTTAGCTAACAAATTATGTCTGTGTGAAACTACCTACTACTGCTTTCTTTATGTTGAGACTGGGTTTCGATTACTTACCTCCTCAATGGATGAAATGATTGGAGTAAAGCCTGATAGCATTTTTACATCAACAAGGACCATATTGGAGTTATTGTGAATTCCAGTATACCTGAAATACATAGAACACTAGTTTAAATGTCAGTGTAGAAAAATTACCTAATATTAAGGGTGATGAGAGGAAAGGCAAAAGGCGAGAACACCTGCAGAAAATCACTTTCAAACATCGGAGAAGCACAGTTGGAGTGATAATGAATAAGATGATACAAAGCGACATACATTGAAATAAAGAATGAATTATGTGGAATCCCATCAAGCCTTGTTCTTAGATTATTCTGAGGATTTAGTTTCAGAACTTACAAGGAAATTTTACACTTTTGTATCACATATACTTAAGTAGGCTCGTTTCAGCAACACTCAAAGGAAATCTTTTTTAAGAAGCAGGATATTGGGCTGTCCCTGGTGGCACCACATTATGAAGCTCTCTGAAGCTGCTGTGGCGTGAGTTTGATCCCCAGCCAGGGAGCTGATCCAGATGGTGTAGCAGACCTCTTCAGGCCTCCCTGCTGCTCCCCTGAGCAGTGTACTTTGTCACTCTGCCTGTTCTGCTCCCCACTTTCTCTGGTGAATCCTCTCACCAATCACACCTCTGACCTGTACCCCATTTCTGTAAGCATAAATAAATAAATCTTTGAAAAAAACCCAAAAAACGATGTTAGCAGAATCATAGAGCAGATGTTCCCCCCAGAGATTTTTTAGGTAATGCCTCTGACCCTGAAAGAATTTGTGGGAAAAAAGTTAAGGATTCCATGTCTTAGTTCTGGGGTTAAGAGGTTTTCACTAGAAAATCCTAAGAAAAATTTCACAACTAATTTAATATTTGTCCTCATATTAACCAAGGCTAAAATTCTTTGGCATCTATGAATGATAAATTATTTCAAAACAAAAAATATTTTTTGACTCAGAAAAATAGAAATCTGAAATGTCACTCTGTACAAGTATAAAATAAATACTTGTTGATTTTATCCTTAAGGTTCAGGAGAAAAAAATAGTGTCCACTGTCCAAAAATGACAAGATTTCCATGCAAAAAAAAAGAAGTATTGCTTGATTGTCAGTATGGCAAGAGCTTTCACATTACCCTTACATACAATTCAGATCACACATGCATAATTCTAGCTGTGATTTAAAGTATACTAAATTGTGCGGTATACCCAAAGAGCTATTATCTGACTGTTGTAGAAACCACACATGGATTTGTGAACACAACATGGCAACCAGTATTAGTGTTTTGTTATTTTGCCCATTTAAAAGGATGTTTTAATATAGTCTTTAACCTGGATATTGATTCAAAATATGATACTTACTTAAGGGTTACTGTCAGATCAAAATAATTCTGCAATTTATCTGAGGAGTTCTTCTTTATCATTTCCATGGCAAGGGAAAATCCAGATGCCTCCTTAGGGAGGGGCACGTTATACCTCAGAGTAGCCTAAAAAGGATAACAAATCAGAAAAAAACCCAGCACAAGTATCTTGCAATAAAAACTGAAGGGTTTATTGTTTCTCTCTATTCATTATAATGCACCTTTAACATCTTTACCATCAGAGAATAAAGCTAAATGTAATTGTTTAGTTTCCAGAAGACTCAAAAAATCTTCAACCATGTGACTTAATAAACAGGATTATTTTGTGACATTATTTCAATGACATTCTTCAAGTAACTTCTCAGTGACCCATTTACTCTTAAGAATAAATATCTCCTCATGAAATAATTTGCATTATCAGCTGTTGATTGAGAAATACCAATGAGAGAAAGAATAATCATGGCAATATGTAAAATGGCAAAATGACACCTCATGAATAACTGAACAATTTGACTTTTTAAATAGCAAACATCCATCTTCCTCTCCAGTAGATTTCGATTACCTGGGTAAATGTACAGCCTTGTCCTTCCACCTCTACTGTGTATTGTCCACGTGTTTTTGTAAGCTCTGAGCTTTGGACCAATAAGCGGTTGTCACTGTTAACCTGGAAAATCTGTTTGGATTTTTCGCTTCTAATGGTAACCTTGTTTTGACCATTGGAGAAGGTTATCTTCACGTAGCGGCTAATGGCGAGAAGACAGACAGCGTTGCCCTGCACAGAAAGTATAAGCAACAATCTGAGCTCTTCTGGGATGGGATACTCATCATGTTTCAGTTGTAGAAATATTCCTAAGGCAGATCGATAGAACACTGAGAAACTATATCCTGAACATAGGAAAGTATATTTGCTTGCGCAAGTTGTTGCCATTTAATATTCCCCACTAATTTTAGTTAGATTTTAGTTTTTCTAAAGGATTTTATAAAGCACAATTACTGTTGAAAATAGTGTCAAATCTCTCTTTTTTAAAAAAGATGTTGTGTAATTTGACTGCCTTGGGTAATGCTTGTGCCCAGGTTTCTTCGAGGAAGGAAAGTCAACGTCAGGATGGGTGTTGGGACATTTACTAACACATGACAATTCAGAAGCTAAGACTAACAGTAAGAAGGTAAGGAGGGAAGTCAAGAATTCCCTTGTGAGAACAAAACTGGGTTTCCGTTGCACTTCAAATATTTTTCCTTTTGAGAGACAGATCATGCTCATTTTCTCTGACCTATTCCTTTCTTTTGATTTTCCCAATATATAGGTCATAGAAATAGAGAAAACACTTTCTTCTTGATTGCTACATAGTTTGACCACACTATCACTGGATAGCTAACTTGCTAAGGCTCTGGTGTCTATGACAATAATCTCTTCTAGACCAACATTTAGTTTTTACTACCTACATGGAGCTATAAACCCGGCACACATTCTCTAATGGGGGCCTTATTCTATTCATTTTCATGAAGGTTGTTCTGATACATAATAACTGCCTCCAGAAATGACTCTTGACTAAATGAAATGGGATTATAAATTCAAGTGTTCTTCACCTCAGAAGGCATTTTCTATGACTGCTTTTGCTACCTAGATGCCTTGATATGTGTTAAACATATCATTATTAATATCAGGTCTATATCAATCACCTGGTTGGATGAAAAGGTTCCTTGGGAATTCAGCTGTTGGGCAAGCCATTGCACAATCTTGCTAGCATAGGTGAGGTTGGGATTTTTCCTGGAAATGACAGCCAAGAGCACGTAGCAAGTCTTCTCTGTCTCAGCAGAAGGTATCCAGGGAATAAAGGCTGGGGGTATTTTGGTCTTAGGTTTCTTTGTTCTTCCCCAGTATATCACATTATCTGAGGAACAAAGATTTTTCACACTGTCACTTTAAGGAGCACTGGTTACACATAACAGGATGCATATTCCATTCTTGATTTCTATTACGGGTTGACTTAAGCCCAGTGTTCAAGCCCTTGTCCCCATACCTTGGAAATGTGACTTTATTTAGAGATTAGGCTTTTAAAGAGCCAATTAAGTTCAGTGAAGCCCTTATAGTGGGCCTAATCCAATATGGCCAGCATCTGTATTAAAAGAGGAAATTTGGACTTGCTGAAGAGGCCCCAGGGATGCACACACACACAAAGGAAAGCCCATGGGAAGAGAGAGGGAGGGGGCACCAGATAAGGTCACATCTGTCAACAACTTGATCTTGGACTTCTAGCTTCCAAAACTGAGAAAAATTAAACTTCTGCTGTGTAAGCCACTCAGTCTGGTTTTCTGTGATGGCAGTCCCAGCAACATCAAACAAAACAACAACTATAAATCTTGAACTGCTCATGTCCTACGGTCAGAAGTGTATGTGATTAAGTTCACAAGCAATTTTTGTTTGGTCTGTGTCATGACCACCAAGTTTTATTTCCTTTAGTAACTTATTTGTAAAGAAATTAGCAGAAAAAGGAGAAGACAAAGATAGAAAACATATGCTGTTCTTTAAAAATAAAGGCCCCTGAAAAATTCCAGAAGAGAAATAGAAATCTACTAGTGAAGAAGCTTCTGTGATGCTAAGTAACTTTCATCACTTTGTTCTCAGTCACCTTCACTAGCATCATGGAATAATCATACTCACTTGTTTTTGTAGCAGATTGATCCAGGATCTGAAGTAAAGATTCCACTTGCTTTTCTTTTCCAGCTAATGCAAAAGCATAAGCTAGAATTGCACGTGTGTAGCTATTGGTGACCCCATTTTTCAAAGCTTCCTCCAGGCAAAAGAATCCATTTCGTAGAGCTGGAAACTAGTTAGAAAGGGTAAGCTATTTTAAAGTAACACCCAAATAAAACATATACTTTATATATACTCCTAAAATTCATTTTCATGGCAATATTAGTATCTGAGGAATAAAATTTAAATAGTATGAAAATGCCTGTCTATACTGTTTGTTGTATTTTAGTTAATGTAAGTTTCTGCTAGGTAGAAATAAATAAAATATCTAAGATATTTTACACTGATGCTTAAAATAGAGGTTGATATAAAGATAGTTTTCAAGATATACAAATGAATTCAGAAATTTCTAGTATCTTAGTTGTAGTTTTTTCCAATCAGATGATCTGAATTTTGGATTGGGAAGTAGCCAAAATGAATCACAGTTAAGTTGAAAATGTTAACATACTGAATTGGCTAGATGAACAAAGCACTAAATAGACTTAGAACAGGGGTTCTTAAACTGAAGTTCATAGTTGAACTTCAGGAGATAGGTAAATATAGGAAAGCTCTATAAAACTTGCAGTGCATGCTTATGTATATTCTCCCAAAGGTTTCTGTGAATCAAATCAATGTGAGTAACATCTATTTAGAGTGTTAATGAATTAAGTATTTTTTCATATTTCATTAATTCTGAGAATTTCAGATCACTCTGAATCCTATGTCTTGTACATTTAGTTGACTGAAACTAAAAGATATGGGAAGCCATACAGTGAAAGTGAGCCCAGCTTCAAGAAATGCTCCAACCACATAGGCAGTGAGTGAAACATCCTCTTCTTTTCCACCCTAAACACAAAGAAACAAGGAGTCATGTGGAGAGCAGGGACACAGAAGAACAGCTGATTGGAAGTGAACTGAGGAATGGAAGAGACACTGGAACAAATACCATTCATAAAAACACTTGAGGTTGTGTGACTTTTGAATTAAGTATAGTCAGTAACCATGCTCTCTGAGTGATCATCAAGAGTCACTGTAATAATGAATCAAAACATACAGTGAACCTCAGGTGCCCTGGACACCTGTACTCTACTTATATGGCCTGATCTTGAGTATGAATTCCAAGCAGTTCATATGATGGTTTTACTTTACTTGGTGTTGATTTAGAAAAGCAAACAATTATGATGGGGCAGAGCAGAAAGTTGCTGTGAAGCTTCCTGAACACCCCCAGCAAAGTAGTGGGAGGTAACAGTGATTAGGATTCAGATTCTTACTGTGTAAAACTAGAAAACCATTCCTAATTTATTTGGTTTTCAAACTCTGTATAAAATTCAATGGGGGAACTTAAAAATTAAATAAACCAATATCCACACAAAATATTATGATATTAAGAGTCAAGAATAAGATACAAGAATTTTAGAGGATGCTCTGGTGATACCGATGCAAATCATTTTCAAATGACATTTAGGGTCCATTGATCTAGTATGAACCTCTTTTATTCATTTAATTAAAAGCTGACCTCAAGTCTTAAGAAGGGAATGTTTCTGGGGAGCTCCATTTTCAAAGTGAAATACCTGCAGAAGGTGGTCACACAAATGTAGAGCTCAAAGCACTTAAATTATAGGTTGGATCAATGTTATTTCCCCTTCTTGTTCCTCTCCATTCAACACAAGCACACAAACACATACATACACACAATTACAAAAAGGATCGGGTAAGATCATACAAACTGAAGTAGTGATTACTAATGAAGTCAAGAAGAACAATGTGGATAAGATGTTTTAGAAAAGAGTATGTAAAATTCTCCCTTTTTTCCCTACATAAGAACAAGAGGTCTTCTTTGCCATGTCCTTCCCATTGTGAAGAATAGGTTTGGAATAATTTAAGGACATTTATACCTACTACATACTAGTAAATCAACTTGAAAATAATTCACATTAAAATGAAATGCCATGCAAGGTTGCTATTCATTCATATTTCGAGGTGGATTAAAGTTATATTCTGAAACCCAAGAAGAGGAGTGGTAGTTCAGAATTATACCAAGGAAAAACCCAGAACATTTCATGGGATCTCAAAGGATGCTAAAATATCATGATTGGAGATTGTGTTTCTATGGCAAAACCTAGAGGATAGAGAAGATAGACTGTGGGATGGAGGCCACAACTGCCTGCAAAGAAAGGAAATCAGAAGATTTAATTAAACTTGGACAGGAAAAAAGAAGCGGGTACTGTTAAAGACATATTTCATACCAGTTTTACTTTGACCAAGGGAAAAAAAGATTCTTATAGTCTGACTTCAAAACCTATTAGAAGAGCGCTTCATTAAAAAATTAAAAAATGCTTGCTACCCACAAATTGGATGAATTACTACTCAACGCTCCCTCCCTTAATGTATTGCCTGGCTCTAAATTCATGAATGTTTCCCCTCTAGGTTCCTTTTCTCTTCATACTCTTCTATTTCCATTTCATCCCTGAAGAAGACTGATTCTATGGAAGGACTGCAGTGGGCAGACAGTGGGTTCATGAGTTCCATTCAGGCTGTGGTTAAAGGTAGAAATAATGAGACTGCTGGCCAGGGCACTAGAGCTTTACAATGACAGCAGACTCAGAAGGGGAAATAGTCATCAGAAAAATATTCATGCTCCAGATTAGGGAGGCCAGAGTTGGTGAAGGTAGACCATGCCAGGCGCAAGCACAGCCCACTTCTGTGGGTCTCTCACCTCCCAGGCATTGCTGAAAAGCTTGCCATCACTTTTAAAGCAACCGTCGCTTTTCTGTTTGCTTGAAAGCCAGAGTAAAGTCTGCTTTTGAATTTGTTCATCGATGAAAACATGTTTCTTTATTTCTTCTAATGTCTTAAAAGTAAGAGCACTGAGCCTGGAATGCAAATCATCAGACACAAGTTAGGTAGGAAAAAAATGATGATATTGTCTACGCAATTCATTTGTTGTCATTGGTTCCTTTGGGTAATGGTTGCACTTAATTTAGCTAATATTGACTGAAGCATGATTAGTTTTAAAAAAGTTACTTTTATTGAAGTAACATTGGTCTGTAACATCATATGGTTTTTGCAATGAGTTAATTTGGCTTTTTCCTTTGGGCCAGTAAGATGTTATGAACAGCATAATTATGAAAATAAGAGAGGCATATGATGAATATATGTAAAGAAGACAGGCAATTTCTAATGTTTACCCACTGTTCTTGCTTTGTAGTCCATTATATTATCCACACATAGAGACAGAATGGGTGTAATTGGATACAATTAGGTATTTTGGGCCTTAGGAGTTTAGTTTCCTGAGTCTGTATGGTACTGTCAGAAATGTAGAATAAGACCTGTCATTTTCCATGGAGTTAGCAAACTTTGTAATGGTGTGTATATATATATGTGTGTGTGTGTATGCATGTATGTATTTTTCCATATATGTCAGAGTCCTAACCAAATTTCTATGAGGCAATAGATATTAGAAATACTTTAGATTCATGTGATCACCTCTGTAATTTGATATCTAATTGTTTCTAAACTCACCTCACTCAAATCCCTCCCTATATTATTTAAATTTGTCATTTCTCACCATGTGCTTCCTTCATCATTCCTCAGCCAAAACACTCTATATGATCCATCAGAGTTTTTGAAAGACAGTTGCTTTTGATAACCTAGAATACAACATTGTAAAAAAATTATTATTTTTTTTTAAAGATTTATTATTCATACAGAACTGGGGTACAGGCCAGAGATGCGGAGGGTGAGAGGATTCACCAGGGACAGAGTGGGGAGCAGAACAGGCAGATCAATGAAGTACACTGCTGAGGGGAGCAGCGGGCGGGTCAGGAGAGGTCTGCCACGCCATGTGGTCACCTCCGGGGCAGGCGGGAATCGAACTCATGGAGAAGTAGCTTTTAGCTTCTTAGTGTGGTGCTTTAACCCGCTGCGCCACCAGGGAGGGCCCAAATTATTGTTATTTTTAATCTAAGAAAATAGGAGAGAAAGGATGGGATAGTGTAAGCCCTAAGTTTTAGTGTTAGACTTAAACTACCAATGACGATCATTTCAGCTTTTATTTCTGAAGCTTGGCTTCTCCTTCATACAGAGAAGGAAAAATAACTCCTACCTTATATTAAAGTTTGAAAGACAAATTAAATACTACATGTGACTGTATCTAGCTCAATCATTGGCACTTATTAATTGTTTAATACCTTTCCTTTACTACACTGTATCTTTCTGGAAAAAAAAAAAAGACCAAAAGATATTATACCCTTGAACATTTTCTTGATAATGCATTTTACAAGGTTTATGGACCCTTTTTCTACAGACAAATTACATCTTTGAAATGGAAAACAAGTGAGAAAACACATATAGAAGTTTACAAATGAAAAATTTGTAGATATTACCAGCATTGACAACAACATACAAGGTATATTGATATTAAAAATAACAACTGAGCTCATAGTTTTTGAAACATTATAGTTCCAAATTGTGCCCCTATATGACTATGTAGATTTTGAAGTAAAAAAATAAAAAAAAAACCCTAAAACTATAGCAGAGACTCTGAGTGCCCCAATTCAGATGTATTTTTCTCTTCAAGACAACTTCATTTTAACAGCTTTATGGCATGCTCATATTAGTTAACAACTATTCTATAAAGCCATAGTTCTGTAAATTTTCTATAATTCATTGATTATATGCAGAGGTTATTTAAATTTCCTCACCACTAGAAAAGGAAAAGAAAATCTTAGATTTAACTTCCTCTGTCAATTGTTGAGTCGATTTCAGATAGTCAAAGAGATAGGCATCAGATGCAAGTCGAACAATATTTTCCTCTCCTGCTGATATAGTGTATCCACTGGGCACTTGGAGAAGATTCTTTAGATTTTGCATTGCAAGTCCTAGAATATCCCCTACAAAATAGAAAAAGTAGAAAATGATGATTGCTGAAAGCTGGCATTTTGGCATTAATGACCATAGTTAAAAGCGGCATGGTGGAAGCAAGAACGTTTAAAATTGAGTCTAAAAGGTGGAAACAGGGAAAGTTTTTATAAGCAATTCTAAAGAGGAGATAGGCAGGAAGTGTGAAATTGACAGGATTCTGTTATGACACATATTCTTGAAAGCCTTACTAGGGAGCAGAATGGCAAAAAATGGCAGGGTTGAGGAATGCAAGTGTTTGCTTGTTTTTGTGCTTACTTGGTTTCTGAGACACTGATACTATAAACTGCAATCTGTTCCTACTCTCCAAATGCTAATGTTGGTGTAGACAAAGAAGCTTGACTTTTGTAAAACAGATTTTTCTAATTAATGAGGAAATTCCCAGCATTTTTAATAAGTGGTATTTGTTCTGATTCTCCAAAGGGGAGTTTAATATTTCAGCTTAATGAGTAATAATAGAACCCTTTGTTTTCTAAATACCAGTTATCATCTCTCAAAACAAGTGGATCTTAGGGATAGAGCTTTGGAAAATGGTGCTATAATCCCTTCAGAGCTCACATGGAAGCAAGCATAGAAGATAATCTTCAACAATAACACCCTGCAAATGGTAGTTTAAGAAAATCTCCCCTTCCTGTTTTTAAGGATTTTCTTTTGGGACCACTTTAATCAAACTTTCACATAACTAAGAAGTACAACATTTCATGAACTTACCCACAACAGTGAAAGAGCCCCTGGCTGACCCTTCTACTACATTTTTTGGCAAGTCCAAAATGATTTTCTTGGAGACTTTGTTCCCTGGAAAGAAAATGTCAGTACAATAAAGTAATGACTTCCTTTTCTAAACAATAACAACAGATTTGTGGGACAGAGATATTAGAAAATACTTTCCACCATTTGATTTTATTTTATAAATTGCTTGTTAGGACAGATAAAATTGAGGTTTTTATCTAGTTTAGGATAACAATACTTTCAGAAAGTGGTATATAAATCTGTATAATAATGGCTCCTAGCCGCTACTGGTTTAGTGCCTAAGCTATTAATGTATGAAAAAAAAATATAAGAAACAACTGAAGATAATATTAAAAAAATAGCTCTCACAAAAGTTAAGCCATGGAGAGCTCTATTAAGCATTAAAATCAGATCATTATCAATCAGATAAAACAGAAATGGAGAAGTTATAAAGCAGGTGGTTCGAAGGCAGTGCCTTGCAGAGGGTTGCTTCATGTAAAGAGTACAAAAACAAAGGTTGTGTTACATGCTATTGGGGCATAATCCTGCTTCCCCTTGTCCATTGCTGTGCCACAATTGTGTGTCAGAAATACACAAGGTGAGAAAAATAGACTGAGCCAGACAAAGGTCCTAAGTCTCATCAATAGACTTTTTGTTTGGTAAAATTACACAGTGAAGACAGAGCATGAACAAAGCCATCCTCTAGTAGATATTTAGAATGAAATCATTGAAGTACTCACTATAGCAAGTGAATGAGAAAAATAAATAAATAGACCCTGTTGGTCAGTTTTCTTTAGAACTAATTTGACAGCCTAACAGATCCTCTTACCTTTTGCACAGATAAGGAAACTTTGAGTCACTTCTTTTTCAATACCTTCAGACTGTTAAGAGCAAACAAGCAAAAAAAAAAAAAAAATCAAACGGAAAATTGTGAGTCTAGGTTGTCTTTCCATAAAAGAAAAATAATCAGATACCAGTTCACATTGGTGTAATTAGCACATATTTGTCTCTGGGAGAAGGTCCATTCTGTGTCCCTTACTGTTTGTAAATGGAAGTCCTTGTACACCACCCAGACCCTGTATTCAGATAGTGTAGGGAGAGAGAACTGTCATTTCAGGACACCCTGAACTCCTGCGATCCGGTTCAGCATCTTCAGGAGACAAACAGAAGTATAGCAGAGTAGGAACATGCTAAGAGGGGAGGTTGAATGTTCCCCAGAAAACTGATTCTTTCTGAGGATGATAAGAAACCAGGAGTGAGGACAAGTAGCTGTGTCTCAGATTTGAGAACCATTAATGTGAGGGAAGGAAGTGGAATAGGTATATAAGACATGTCACAGGGCAGGATTAAATCCCGAATCAAGTCTGTTTCAAGTGCGGAATTTTAGTATCCTGGGCCAGGTATTTATTAAAGAAAAGTTGCTTTAATTATTTTAATAGTTGCTTTAATTTTAAATAGTTGCTTTAATTCATTTTAAAAATGGCATGTCTTGTGTCGATAACTACTGTCAATGAGTTAAGTCTCTTTGAGGAGAATATCTTAATACTTAGCCTACCAGGTGCTGTCTAGTGCTTACCTGGAGTCAGACAACTTTATACATACATACCTTTACCAACAAACTCCTGACCAGAGTATCTTTCCAGTTTAGGTTTTGCTGCTCATTTGCTTTAAGTGGGCAAGCGCTGCTCTGTTTGGATTCTGCAGTTACCGTAATATTCACTCTTCCTAGAAAACACCCCAAGCATGAGTAAAATTAACACTTCTCTCTTTACAATGCAAAATGATTAGTCTGTAACCCACATCTTGAATTGGATGAACTGCATTATATTTTCATATTTTGATGAAAGTTACTCTTTTCTCCTGCCTACAGAGACTTTGATATCTTGTTTTCCCTGATTCCTTATATTAAATGAGAACTCAAGAAATTTCCAAGAAAGATAATATTCTGCAAAATGAAGGGAGACAGTTAATTTATATTGATAGTTTATAGAGGTTATATATGACAATATAGGAACATAAAATCAGACAACCAGGTCTTTTAACTTTTCCCAAGATCAAACAAAGTTAGTAAATTACAATATAATGGGGAAAGGCACTGGATTTAAATCTAGTCAGCAAGGAATCTAATTTTTTTACACATTGTAATACCATAGATCATGTAATAAAAACTGATCTCTAGCTTATGTACTTATAAAAATAAGAAGAATGAAAAAGATAATTCCTTTGGCTTAGTATTACCTAAGTCAAAATGCCAACATATGCCAACATACCAATATACCAACATGATGTTTAATGTTTTTCTTCTTTGTGGTGGTGTTCTATTTTATCTGTTTCTTTTCAGTAAGTGTTTGATATTCTACTAATAGAACTGTTTCCTCCACTAAAAATCATAAAACCATGCAGATTAGTAAGTATTATATATCAGTTTCAGGGGAAGATTTTTGAAGACCTTGTATAGTTACAAAAAATGAGAGAACTCATATTAATGGGGAAATTGGTTTTATGTAGCCTAGTGTCACACGTGAACTAAAATGGTCTCATAAATAAGCTCTGTAAGCTCTGTGCTGCTAAATTAATACAATGAATTAATTTAAATATATTAAATATAAAAGAAATTTCTAATGACAATTTTTTTTAGTGATAATGAGTATTGTGCAGCCATTAAATCTAGCACTCTTAATTTACTAAACTTGTAAGCATTTCTCTTTCCTGGTATTTCCAACAATATACTTTCAGACTTATTTTCTATACTGTAGATGCTCATCACAGTACTTAGTCCCCACCCAAGTATTCAGTGTTTTTGAAGTTTCATGTGATACTTAGTAAATTTGCAAACACTGGCAATGATTTGGAGGAGCAATTTCTGTTTGGGTGACATGAGTTCATGATGACAGGTGAAAGAACAAGTGAGGTGTAGAGGGTTTGGCCGCACTAGTGAAAGATGGCCTTCCTTTGGGGGAGGATGGATGGAATTGCTAGGTCATGCGAATTAGCATTTATATTGTGCTTCAGTCTCATTATGTTTTTACACAAATGAAGGATGACTGCTCTCTGCAAGCATTAGCAACTAGAAATTAGATTATGAAAAGAGGATTTTTAATTGAGAATTTTTTATAAAGAAGAATTAAGAATGTGAGGGCCATTTCCAATGAAGAGAAATAGAAACTGACACCTCAAAGATTAATTTATTCAGTGGACTAACTGTGGCAAGAATATTTCAGGTAGATGAATAGCAAGTACCAAAGAGTGGGAGAGAAGGTCAGGTAAAAAGAAAGAGAAGAGGTATTTAGATATTATCTTACAGGCTTTATTTAAAAAATGTAAGGTAATTTGCTATTAAGTCAATCAGTGTATTTTATGGTAAGGATGCTAGATGGTCCAGCAGTTTTTCTCATATTGGTGGGAGTACAAAGGAGGGCTTGTGATTGGACAAAAGGAAGACTGCACAGATTCGAGGACAGCAGGGCTGCTATGATTTAAAAGACAGTGCAGAATAAGATTCAAATGGCCTTCCCCTTGCCTGCTGTCCAACGCCAAAATGAAGACTGTGCCACGCTGAAAATTGCATGTATTTGGATCACATGCGTCCTTATCTTTTCTCATTCTTTTTATGACCTAAAGCCTAGTTTTATTGTAGAAGTCACAGGGTTGTGACTTAAATGGAATTTTGGATAAATTGGGAAAAAATGAGGGAGCAAATTATACAGGGGATTTAAAGATAATAGAGTCAGAGAAATGAGCTGGCTTTCCATGAAAGAATGCCATAGACACACAGTTGCTTACCCAGTTTCTTAGGTAAAAGAGTCCAAACATATGTTTTCTTCTCTCCAGCTTGGATGACTTCCCTGTTGTTTTTAGAGGTGCTGATATTTGCCTCAAAATTCTGAGAGCTTTCCAGCTGAACAGAAATCTACAAAAAATAGTCATGTATCAAAGGTAGCCCTGTAAATACTTTGGTCTTCCTCCTCCTCCCTTTTTGGAAAAATTTTGCTTTTCATATTTTGTTTTAAGTTTGCAAAAATCAAAGATAACTACTTGTAGAATCAAATGATTCTACTTGTAAGATGATAAATATGGTAGAATGCACGTCATCATGGAATGACATTCTCAAAGCAATATAAAATCACTGCTGTGCATTAAAGTAATTGTTTTTATTTGGGGAATATGGAAACAATATTTATCCCTTTAGAGGACAATTTTTGCAGCCAAGAATAAAAAGAATATGCCATTATTGAAAGAAAATAGTAAGGAATCTTTTGCCCTTGTTCATTTTGCCTCCAGCTCAAACGAAGCACTCACCTCTACACATGTATTCAGATAGCTGAAGACACTGACAATCAGATCAGATCGTTCATTTCGAACTACCGAAAAGGGTAAGGTCATTTCAACAAAGAAGGGTTGAAAGACTTCTAGGGTAGCTGTTGATGAGACGCCAAATCCATAATCACCATTCACACAGAAGCCAGTTGCCTTCCATTGTGTTAGAGTATCAGGGGTGGAGAATGTAAGAGTGGTTGAGCCCGAGGAACTGCAGGGACAGATACCTGGTTACTGGCATTCTTCATCTAAACCCGGAACCGAACTTTAATCCAAAGTAAGCAAAAGGGAATTAACTGAAGGTTGGAAAGGAATTATAGTGTTAGGACTTTAGATAAAGATCTGGAGCGCTGGATTTTAATGAAATTTAACATTAAAAAGATCACATTTCTTTTTCTTAATTAAAGTAAAAATAGATTATGGTACTATATGTGCTTGAAAAGTATAGCATCAACATCTCTTCTGAACATTTTTTTAGATAATACATTACTGTTTTAAAATTGAGGTAGTTTATATCTACTGCATGAAATTACTGGAGAAACAGTCAGAGAAAAACAATAGGTCATTTTGTCAGTGAGCAGCAGAGCAAAAACTCTAGCTCAGAGCGTGATGCTGGGCATGAACTCAACCCATCACCACGCCAAGGACTTCTCAGCACTTGGCTCACAACTGCTGGCATGCTGTGAACCAGGCTCCCCAGGGTGCTATGAACCAGGCTTCCCAAATGGGAAGGAGGAAGGGGCGAGACAGGTACATACTGTAGTTGGAACAAAGGAGGTGGGAGAGACACATGGGGAGAGACATATGAAGGAAAAACTTGGAGGAGAGAAGCTGGAGAAGAGGCGTGAGGGTGAGAGAGACGCGGGGAAGCTGCATTTGCTCTTTGTTCCTCGTGGGTTTAGCATTTTTGGCAGAGAAATGGCAGCCACTGTCCTGGTGTCATGGTGTGTTATGTGGTGCATGTTGAATTTCAGGTCTCGTTGTCCTTGTTCTCTGGCACCTGCGAGCCCCTTTCTTGTGGATCCTCACCTAAAGGTGCCTTAGGCTTCTGACAAATATTTGAACCTTGAGATTCCCACTTTGCTTCAAGCCAGTTTAGCTGGACAATTGCTCATGACGAGTGGGTAATATTTAAAGTCTGGAGTGATCAGGGTCTGATATTTGAAATCTTTTCTCCTCCTCTCCCTCTCTTTTTGTCTGTCTCTGCCTATCTATCTGTCTCTCGCTCCACACCAATTAAAGATAAAGATCTTTCACACTGCGTGTCTGCTCTCTTTGTCATTGTGTGTGGATGGCTGGGCCCAATAGAATGTGCAAAATGATTTTTTCCCCTTTACAGTTCAGGGTACCTGAATAACCCTCATTTGTACAATTACAAATAAATGCAAAAAAGGGGATGTTGTATATTTTTACAGATTTGGTACTGCTATATATATCCAGAAGTAAAACTTAAGAATGAAAATTGAAATAAAGGAAAGAGAATTGTTAAAAGCTCACTTGACCCTAATCAGGTTCCATAGCCAAGTCTCTGGAAACTTTGTTCTCACTGTTTCCACTATAGCCTGTTCTGCAAACATAGCCTGTTTAGTTGTGGTGATGCCATCAGCTAAAAGGAAAGAGAAATGTGTTATTTAGGAATGAAAACCTGAGTTTCAGTGACACACACCTCAGTTCCATTGGCAGCCTGTGAGTTTAGTGCAACACAATACAGAGATTAGCTCTTAGAGCACTACGAGATATGAATGTATACCTCACCCCAGGCACCAGCATCTTCATGCTCAAATCTCTCCTGGTTTTATAACCAACAACAGACAGACAAAAACTGACAGTCGCCTACATTTTTCCTCTACCGACAGATTTTGAGAAAATGAGGTCTCTTCACTGAAAGGAGTTTCTCATCTGACATTCATGTGTCCTCCAGAAAGCACTCTGGTGACCGCCAGTTCCACTAGCTGACATTAATTTTGCTAAAATTCATAATGACGTTAGCGTCACTAATCCTAAAGAACACTTCTGCCATTTGTTTGACCCCTCAGCTACATTTTATATTCTTAATCTCTGTGTCTTTTCCCCCTTCCAGATGTTACCTTTCTTAACACTTCCACATTTCTTCTCACCTCTTTGACACTTTTGTCTTTCTTACTTGATGATGGAATCTCTCCACCTTGATGAGTTCCTAAGAACCCTGTTTTAGGCTTTTTAAATACTGTCTACCCCTTGGGGTCCTCACACATGGCTCCCATCATAATATTTATGCTGCTTTCTCCTGAATCTACCTTCTACTTGGCCTCTTCTCTCAACTCAGACTTGTGCCTGTGACACCCCGAGCACATCTTACAGACTTTTCAAATATGCCCCAATCATATCCTTGCACTTCTATCCAGTGCTTCTTTTCTCTTTTAAGAAAAGTACTAAAGCTTACCCACTTGCCAACACCAGAAACTTAAGAATTGTTTTTGATCATATCCCACACCCCAGTATGCATTTTCCAAAACCAGCCAATTGAAAACAGTTCTTATATTTATCTACGTTTTCCCATTTCCACTGCTTTTTTATAAGTCATCTTAATTATTAGCATTAATAACATTCCATAAGTCTTTAGCCTTTAGCAGCCTAAGTCCTATCCCTTTTCCCACAGAGCAGCCAAAAGTATCTTTTAAAAACACAGAATGTCTGCTTAAAATTAGTCAGTGGTGTTTTACATTAAAATGATATTGCATTAAAATTCCAAACTTAAATAGCCTCCAAGGTCTTTGTGATCTTCCCACTTACTGTAAATGCTTTAGTTATTTTTACTCTTGCCCTTGAGGCTTAATTCCTACCATCTTGACATGCTTTTAATTTCTTAACTAGTATTTTCTTGTACTTTCTTCCCTGCTTGGAATGTCTTTCTAACTTTTTTTGCGGTGTATTATTGTTCATCTCCAGGTCTTAGTATAAATGCTGCTTCTGTGATAAGACATCTTGGCCCCTTGAAAAATGGGGCTACATCTCTCCTTTTCATATTCTTTCTGTTTAATACACTCTTTTCTGGTTTTAGGAATGATCTCTTGCACAGTAATGTTCCCTGTTAGACTATGTGACTCAGATCCTGGCCACAGGCAAAGGTTTATTGGCTGAATTAATGAAAAACTGAAGAAAGTGGAGAAGGAAATGAGTTTGTATTTCAGTACATTTTTTTCAAAGATAAGGAAAAATTTAAATGTTTCTGATAAATTTCACTAAATATGGTTTGATCTAGTAACAGAAAAGTAGCTAGTTTAGACTGAAGACTAGGACTTCAAAGGGGTTTTATCTTCTGGACTGATAGGGCCAAATACTCTCTCAAATACTCACTCAATCTATGTTGTGTGAGTTTGTTAGAGCATTAGTTTCTTTTAAGTGGAGCTTCTGATTCCCCTGTCTTGATCAGCCCAAGTTCAAGTACTGGACTAGTCTCAGTGGTAAATGACTTTAAGGGGAATTTAAAAAAAAAAAATGTTACTCTGGTATTTTCAGATCTGGAACACATCTTTGACTTAGTGTGTGTTTTGATGATTTTGTTTCACTTTGTTTCTTTGACTAAATTCTTTATTATAAATCTGCCAAATTATCTACTCAGCTAAGATGAAGACTATTTTGTGCTTATGGTCTTCCCAATAGAAAATGGGCTCAAGTTTGAACACATTTCTCTGATGCTAGCTGCTTGACTCTGGGAGTCAAAATTCCCTGTGCACTGAACTCTGTATAGCAGGATGTAGACATAATAAGGTAGGCGGGCTTCATTAGAACACCACATTTTCCTGTAGCATACTTATAATGACTTCCCATATCACACACACTGCCTGCTCCTATATACTTTTTGATACCATATTCTGCCAGTAAAAGTAACCTCTCTCTCATAACTAATTCTTCCTTTTTATCAAACACATTTCTAGTCTGCCTTATTCTTCTTTATTCCGCAGAAGGGGTCTAGTTGTGACAATTATGGCATAATTTACTCATGGAATCCCAGCATTTTAGTGTTTTATCCCACACATGCCCGGCTTCCATGGATCTTTTGCCCATCTCTCAGGTAGAAAGCTCTGGATTACTCACTTGCACTCCTTGATGTGGCACTATACATCACCTCATAGCTCCCTGCTTCTGCGTAAAGTGGTCTTAGGAATGGCACCTTTCCCTCTGTTGAACATACTGTTGGTTTCCGGTAATGAAGATTGGTAAAGACTTTCAGACCCATGTTCTTCAAAGAAACAAACAACAAAGCAGAAATGGTGCATTCCTTCTACGCAAGACCTGTAACAGGACTTCATCGGTGTGGTGCTAAACACACTAAATGCGTGTTCCCTCTACTAGCAAGGGCCAGGGATTCTTTTTAAAACATTTTTTATGAGGTAGTATTAGATTTTAGATGTCAGGTCTCTTGTGATAGATGGAAAATGATAATATGCTTTATTTAACATATTGTGCTATCTGAATAGCACTTGTGCTACAATTTTGCTAAGTATTTTTACATATTTTTGATACATTTCTAAGAGAAAAACAGCTATGAGCTAGGCATTACCCTATTACCACCAACACACACATACTATGGACAGTTAATCATCTGGGGAGCTGGTACTTAAACTAAAATATCTAATTCTGTGCCCCTTCTATACCTGTGATTTCAATTATAAAGACCTTTTTAAGAAGGCATAACTAATGATACCTACATAAAAATGGAATATACAATATCTAGCTTCTTGATTTGATCACGTGTGCATAAGATTTGTCAAAATAAATTGAAGACTGTCTCATTACTTTGAACATGAAATTGTATTTTAGCCACCACTTACTTATTTTCAACAAAAAAGGCAAACATTATTTCCTTTTTATAAGACAATTTCTGAGTGTTTTAAAAACGGATTACTGACATTAATTACAAAAATAATTTTTTATAATAAGTTTTATAACTAATAGAATGGAACCATGCACTATGAATAGTAAAACTGAGATTGAACTGAAATAATTTGTGATCTTACCTTGACAATAAAATCGATATCTCCATCCACATAGTTGCTTATGGGTATATAATACAAACCATTGTAAAACATGTCTGTCTGAGGGATGCAAGGGTCTGCTTTGCCATCATCAAGGTTGAGACCAACATAGGCATAAACATATGGTTCTATAGTTGAAAGCAAGTGATACACCTGTGAGAAAAAGCAGATAGTTTTCAATGACTCTAAGTGCTCTTTTTATTTTTAAAAGCTTGACAGTTTTGTGCCGTGACCATAGATTCTTTCCTTGAAAAGCATAGCTTTACTATCTAATCCAATACTTTTGAGTTAACTCATCCTTCCAAAAGAAGAAAGCTTCAGCTATGTTTCAGGTGGTCAATATCATGTTCACACTATTTTAACTCATGCCAGATGTAGTGTGGCCTATAGGAAAGAGATGCCGAAGACCCGTGTTTAATCCAAGACTGAGTGTACAGGTAATTTGTTAAAACTGTAAGAAAGAATTAAACTGGACCACAGGGAAAGTGGTTGAATTGGAAAGCAATTCCAACAGAAGATCCAGTACACTGATAGTTTTTCTAGAAAGGGAAAGCAATGGAAAGACTAATTTTTCAATTAGAATTCAAGACAAATTCTGAAAGGAAAGAATTGAGTTTACTTATCTCCTTGACCACTGATTAGCTAATAAAATTTCTCTTAAACAATCATTCTGAGAAATATTTTACTAAAACGATATGATCTTAAATATAAAAGGAAACGAATCCCTCAAATTTCAGAAAAAGGATCATATAATTACAAGGTTAAATAATTCAGACTTACATTAGCATTTTATTTATGCATATAGGAACTGGGATACAGGCCAGAGATGGGGGGGGGGGATGAGAGGATTCACCAGAGACAGAGTAAGGAACAGAATAGGCAGATTAACTGAAACACACTGCTGAGGGGAGCAGTGGGACAGAAGAGGTCTGTAGCACCATGTGGGTCAGCTCCCTGGCCAGGGATCAAGCTCATGCTGCAGTGGCTGGTGACAGCTTCACAGTGCTGGCACTTAATCCCTCACACCACCAGGGAGGCCCTGTCAGAATTCTTAAAAACGATCGTCTAAACAAGCCAATTTTAGAGTACCATTTTCAAGAAAAGAAAGTAGGGACTAAAGATTTCACCTGATCTCATAACAAAGCTTTAGTAAAATAATTTTAAATAAGCAAAATTTATGCATGCACAAAAGGTGACAAAGGAAACAGGAAAAACCTTGTGGATGTGAATCAAAAATGGATGTAAACATTATATGCTCTGACAACGAAGAAAGATGCCGCTTTGTTTTTTGTACATATTTTCTTCCAATGTTGATTTTTGGACAGTGTTTGCTTTCTCCCCTTATACTTCTCCCACTACCACAGCACCCATAATCCATCTCCACCTCCCTTTTTTGGGCTGCTTCCCTTGCCCCTCCCTGGTGTCAGTCTCAGATCTATGGTCAGTTTAGACATGTTGTCTTTTACCTGACCAGAAGATGCTACTTTAAAATAAGAAGTTAGTAAGTAGAATGAGGACATTGACTGCTGGGTAGATAATAAGGAACCACAGAACACTACTTAAAAATGCCTGGCTAGGTTTAAAGATTAGGTAAGAAGAAAAGTGAGATTAGGGTATTACAAAAGATATGAGTAAGGATAACACTAAAATAAAAATTAAGCCTTAGCTAAATACAGGAAGAAGTTCTAAAACATCTATAGCAAAGGAGAAAACATCCAAAGAAGAAAATCTGAGTGCTTACAGTTTCTGGTGACAGGTCTTGTTCGGGTTTCAGGAGAAGAACACTTTTATCCACAGCCTGGAGGGCGCAGAACGAATCAGGGGCTGCTTGAAGATAGAGACTAATATTGGAGCCAGGTAGACCCTGCTCTTTAGAGAACTTTATGCTGACCTTAGGAGAGAGCAAGAGAATGAGATGGTTATATAAAAGTTATTTGAATATATACTTTTCCCCAATAATCTTTATAAATGTTTGTACCTCTGTTTCTCCTGCTTACTCTCCCTCAACTCCCCTTAAAGGGACAGTCCTTTACCTAACTTGTCACCTAAGGTTGGCATTACAGCCAAAGTTATTCCTTCTCTCATCCTCTATGATTTAATGATAGCATGTAAGGTGACTATTAATCAGAGAAGGAGACATGAGGAGAAAACTGCTCACCCCTCTCAGAGGCAAGAAATAAAGGAAATATCACCTTGTTTTTAAAGCACTTTTCAACTTGGAATTTGACGCTGTCAGCCACAATCTCCCCACTGGGGTGGATGGTGTAGACAAGCATATCAGCCACAGGAGCCAGATCGGCACTGATGTTGATTGGAAATGAGAAGCTTCCATTCCTGGCTGTGTGAACAGATGTCATCAACTCACACAATGCTAACAGTTTCCTTACAGTGGATACATCGATAAAAGAGAAAGACTTAGGAATGAAATGGGCAAAAATACTGGGTTTTATTTTGATGGCAAAAAAGCAGTAAGAGTGACATATATAAATAAGGAATTTAATAATTTAAGCAGTAATATTATTTGGGCTTGGACGATTACTTTCTTAGAATGTACTTGCTAACTTGGCAATAATAGAAGCAAGTTGAAATCTCCAACAAAATATTTAGTAGCTAAACGTGGGCCATGTTAGCTGTTACCCTGCATGTATAAATCAAAATGTTAAGTACTCTTCCTAACCTCTTGACTTTTAGAAAAGAAAGAATATTGAAGGAAGAGTAGATGTTTAGAAATGAATGTATAATGTTCAGCACACACCTTTGTTTCTGATTTCATTTTTTCCACTAAGAAAGATAGCTCCTTTTACCATCATCTGTACAGAAAAAGAAGGCAAAAATGTGATAGCATATTTTTAACTAATGCCATGTTAATGTTAGATAATGAATGATTTTGTGACAGTAATCCTAGCCCATAGGATAAGGTACTTCTATGAACAAGTTAGAAAAATGGACTTTATACAGCTCGGGACAGAGCAGAGTAAGTGACAGTTGAGGAGTGATTATTATGGGCTAGAAACTTGGTGAACAGTCTGCTGTGGGAAGGGGGTACATAAAGCTCTGAGGTTGCCTGGCTTTGAATAAACCATAGCCTACTCATTGCCTGTGGCCTTCTGTAGAGTGCATCTCCCTAGAGTAGGGGGAACTGCAGGGAACAGGCAGCATTTCCGCTCCTCCGCTTACATGCAGCCACCTGGGATTACAAGTCCTGTATGCCATGCACTGGGCTCCTGAGCAGGGACGCTATTGGGAACTAGGAATGGAGTGAGCAGCTGGGTGGCCCTTAGAACACAGAAGGCAGGGGGTACTCTGACCTCTGTGGCCCCTGACTTGCACCCTGTGCCACTTGCTAGCAGTACGGAAATCTGATCATGTTTTGGCCAGTTAACTGTTTCTTTCTCTCTCTCTGTCCTCCCTCCTCTAACTGCCTTTGTTTTGTTTTGTTTTTCTCAAAATCATTTTATTTTATATTTTTTTATTTACTTACATCATTCTTCATTTTGTGCATTTTTTTAATCTCAATTATAATCCCCATGGGCTTCCACTACCAATCTAACTGACCTTGTAAACATACATTTTTGTTTAAATATTTCCCTGCATGCCTGCTTTTGGATCTTGTCTCAGTGGTAAGGACTCATACCAAGGTTACCTCATTTTCCCTGGGGGTGTGCTGAAACAATCTAATTTCACTTTTATTTTTTTTATGATTTATTTATTTATTTATACATACAGAGCTGGGGTATAGGCCAGAGGTGCAGGGGCAGTGAGAGGATTCACCAGAGACAGAGCGGGGAGCAGAATAGGCTGACTGACTGAGAAGTACACTGCTGAGGGGAGCAGTGGGTGGGTGAGGAGAGGTCTGCCACACCATGTGGTCACCTCCAGGATGGGGATAGAACTCATGCTGAAGTGGCTTTAGCTTCTTAGTGCTGTGCTTTAACCCGCTGCGTCACCAGGGAGTGCCCTAATTTCACTTTTTAAAAAATTGTTTGCTTCTGTTCTCATATTTGTAAATGGAAATGGCTATTGGGCTGATTAAAGTGTTAGCACATATAAAGGTCCACAATAGTGTCTGACAGGTAATACTTACTCAAGGAAGTAAGTCATTGTTTCCAATTACAAATACTCAATGGAGGAAGCTAAGACTTAAAGGGTTTAAGCAGTCTGCCTGAGATCAACTAGTTTAATGATGAATGGGAGTGGAGAATTCCAGTTAGGAGTGTCTAAATTCTAAGTCTGTAACTCTATAGGCTTTATAGAAACAAAATGAATAAATATGGAAACAGAACATAAAAGACCAATTCCTTTACTATATATATTTCTTGCTTATCAAAATCAGCTTTTCACCTTACTCTTTGGTATCTATCTGATAATTTACTCTCATGAAGTGTAAAATACACTTGATGTTTGAATGCTTAAATAGTGAATATTTTTAAAAAGTAGACACTGAATATCAAGTTTTCCAACCTTACAGCTTTTTGGATGTTTATTTGCTTTTGTGTTTGTTTTTAAGTGAGCCAGTAGTATTCACCAACAAAGTGAGAAGCTGGGCTCACATTCATATTAATCACATTAATTATTTGAAATTATTAATCACATAGTAATTAATGAATAATCACATTAATAAAACATGAGTGGGAACACATGGTAAGCTGTACTCTGTTTAGCAGACATTCAATTAGACAAGGTCCAAGAATCCACCAAGTGCAACTCACCAGATAGAAGAAGTGTATATTTGCACCATCCCTGTATGCATCACCGTTCAGGGAGTAGTGCACGGTTACAACCTTCTGTTGATTGCATCTAAGCTGCTTGGGTTCATGAACAATCTTCAGGAAGCTGTTGGTTCGCGAGTAAAAGCGTGGGACTGAGAACCGAGCATCTGCATACTCAGGTGCCAGCCAGTCCAAAGGATGACAGCTCTTAGGATGAACATATGTCGCCTGATAAGAGAAATGAAGTCTATAAAGACCTTCCCAGGAAGGCAATTATTAGGGTACGGAAGTCTTCTTATCTCTACTAAACAGGGAGGGATCTTAGCTTGTGGCCGATGCTTAGATTTTATAACTGGAAATAAAATAATAACACTCCTCTTTTCACACAGAAAAGATGTAATTGTATTTTTTTTTTTTTTAGGCCTAAAGTCAAAAGCTTAGTTTTACTTTATAATTGAAATTGCAGAATAGCCTTAGACCCATTTTTTCAGCTGCGTTTGACCTCTGAAAAATTGATTAACTGTAACATTCTGTTTAAGAAACAGAAAGAGAGAAATCATAGGATCTACCCTGTCCATGCAAAAAAGTCAAATCGTCTTCAAGAGGTATTTCTAGTTTCTCAGGGGAACATATTGCTTGAAACTATATAAATATAGTACAACCTATTATCTCAATCTCTTGACAACATATTCTCAAGTATTATTTATGTGAACATATAAAATATCTGTTATTTTAAAACCCAGTTAAAATATACTAATACGGCCCTCCCTGGTGGCGCAGCGGGTTAAAGCACTGCACTGAGAATCTAAAGCCGCTTCTGCATGAGTTCGATTCCCGCCTGCCCCGGAGGTGACCACATGGTGTGGCAGACCTCTCCTGACACGCCCGCTGCTCCCTTCAGCAGTGTACTTCGTCGATCTGCCTGTTCTGCTCCCCACTCTGTCTCTGGTGAATCCTCTCACCCTCCGCATCTCTGGCCTGTACCCCAGTTCTGTATGAATAAATAATCTTTAAAAAAATATACTAATACAAGTTATCATTTAAGAGATATCTAATGTTAAAAATTCCTAACATTCAAATCTGTTGTGGGATTTTATCTGTACTTTGATATCTTACTTTCAGGTTTAACTCCGGGTCGAATAGGCCTGAAGTATCAATAGAAAACTGAGCTTCGCCATTCTTGTCTGTGGTATAATTTCCTAGAAATTTGTCATTGAGCTCCAGTTGCAATACCTTGTTCACCATTGGTACATTAGCAGGACTGGAAAATTTAAGCTGTATAAGAAGAAAAGCATTGCTTCTTAAAATCCAAATTTCTTTAGAAATAATAATATCTCTTTCATAAATCTGATCACTTACTTATAATATTAAATCCTAATAAGATGTTCTATTAACTATATAATATGGAAACAGCTATCATTTTATTTAGGGTTATCTTCAGTCTAGTGTAGGAGACATAGTCATAATGCAAATATGTTCTGAAAGAGAAAAAAAATCTAGAAAAACAGAAAGTACTGTTTGTGACCCAAGGAAAGGAAATGAAAATATGTATTTTTTTAGGCAGGCCTACAGTTCCAAAATAAGAAATTCCTCTTCTGTAGAAAGGGTCCATGTTCTCAAAGTCTACTCTCCCGAGCAATGGAGTGAGAGCAGTGGAAGCTTTTTCACTGATCTGCACACCTATAAGAAACAATGAATGATGGTGTTAGAGAAAACTCATTTGACTGATAACTTCAAAAGAACAAAAAGCTTAGGTATATGTGTTAACTTCTATACACAGTAGTATAATCTTGCTCCACATGAAAAAGGAGGTGTTGGTGTGCTGGGGCATGTTTAGACAACTGTACCTGTGTGAGATATTTTAAAATGAATACTGAAAAAATATAAAATATCTGAATCAGAAGCAGGAGAAAGCCCCCCTACTTACTTACCCCTACTGTGCTAATCAGTGCTTACTTGTGATGCTTCATGAGGGCAATGTCATGAACATCTTGAGTATAAGACTTTTACTTCTTAAAATCTTTAGCCTGTAGGATACTATGTTGTTAGACTTTTACCAGATTAAAATGATCTGTAATAGCAAAATAAATACAAATGCTTTGTGATTTCATGGAGCAACCAAATAATCAGAGTCAAATATATTTAGCTAAATTACTTTAAATTTATGACACGTTTATTTATTATGATTGCCATTATCATTATAATTTTGATGACATATAGTTATAAAATATACTTTAAGTAACAAGAAATAAAATCTGATCCCAACCCCATATTAAATTTCATAGACAGGGAGTTGGACTTGACTCCCTGTCTAAATCAAATCCCAGTATTAAATCAAAGGTTAGACTTTGACAACTGATTATCAAGTGGTGTGCACAAAGATAAAAAGAGATAATTTATTAGCTTAGGTCTACTACAGAGAGATGTTTGATGCAGATATAAACACTTGTTTTCTCCTGCTTTTGATTCAAACATTTTATAATATTTCAGTATTCATTTTGAAATATCCTACACAGGTACAAAATCAAATACTTTAATTTTGAATATTATTAGGAAAATCTTACTCTAAAAGCAGCCTTCAGTGTGATCTATGGGCAAATATGCTTCACTCTTTGATGTGGTCAGTATTGCTAATTCAGTAAACTCCCTGAAAGCTGACATATTGGCTCAAGTTGGCCATAGCAAATACTGGTTACCTGTCCCGCTTTCTGTAACAGTCACAGTGATGTCAAAGGTCATGAGCAATCCGGAGCGGTAGAGTTGGAAGACTTTTGTATCTACAACTTGAGTATTACAACCATTTCTCAACTGAAAGAATAATGAAAGTGTCTTTAAATGACAGAATTTTATTTATCACAGACATTTAACTCCTACTGTCTCATGTCTCCACAGACTTTTTGATCAATGAATCAAAAAAGTAGGGGGTGGCACAGTGTTCATCAGCAATTAAACCAAGGTAAGTAGGTTATTTGTACTTTACAGATTTCAAGAATCTCTAAGGAACAGTGTAGATGGGAACACTGATTAGAAGTTGATAATGGATTTCTGAATGATATTCTAAGGGTAAGAAAGAAGTTTTATCTTGAGTGACACTAAGGACCGATGGAATAGAAGCTCTCTAAATGTGTAACACCAAAACACCTTTTACGGCAAATAGCTTATTACAAATAAGGGGGGAAAATCTATCCTTTGTCAGTGACAGTAATAACTAGAGAATGGTAGGGTTAGTGATACTTTAAAATAAGAACCTGTTTATTAACTCCAAACTTAAAATGTTAGAGGGATATAGCATTTCATTTGATCCTCAGAAACACTATATAAACTGGATACTACTGTCATCTTCATTATCTGGATGGACATTCTGAAACCCAGGTAGATGATATAACCTGCCCAAGGTCGCACAGCCAGAAGGTGTTGAAACTCATTAAACATTCTGACTCTAGACTACATGCCCTTCTGCATTATCAATTATAATAGCAATAACAACAAACAATTTTACTGAGTTATACAGCCAAGTTCAGAAGAAACTTGGAGTCAAAGAGATGGTATAAAGTTAAGTCAGTAAGAATCTAAAGTACTTAAGCATGAAGAAGAAATTGCTTTGAATCAAATTGTGGTTAAAGGAAAATATACAACTCTGAATGTGTTTATTACGCAAGAGGAGCTACTGTGTATTTTTAAAACAGCAGAATAAATGAAACATATTAAGTAAAAGTAACAGGGAAGCTAAAATAAAGATTTTGAAATAGAAGAATAATAGAAAATAATAGAAACAAGTCAGAATAGGATCAGTAAAATAATATTTCCATGCCCTAGAGAATTAAAGAACACTGTTAAACATTGTATTTTCTCTTCCTTCTTCACCTTATCCAGCTGCAACCTCCATTATACACAAAGAATTGTCCTTTTCTGTAAGTGGAATCAAAGAAAGAATAATGAAAATGAAAGGTAACTGGTTTTCATTGTTTTGTTTTAGCAAACAGTGGTCTGTACCTGAGCAGTTAGTTGCTCACATATCTCGTTGTCTTTGTCACAGTTCCAAGAGGAAAAAAACTTTCTGCACACCCGGATTTGGGCTTTCCCCTGCACCGGTTGGCCATAGGTGTACCTAGGGGAAAAGGTGTCCTTGTGATTATAGCTGGACAATACCAGAGCAATAGCAGATGGGTTTCTTAAAAGCCATGCATGAAATCTCTACACCACAAGTCCTCCAATCTGACCTAATTCAACCAGGCACCTCGCCTATTCTAGGTAATTGTTCCTTTGGGATTTAGGTTGATTTAGACGTTTGACCTGTTAAGAAAATTCAGCTGCTTTCTTAAGAATCACATTCAAGATAATATAAAATTTATAACTAGCTTAAAATCTCAGTGAATAAAATTTAACGATTAAATTGAATTTTTGATTATAATTTAATTTCATAGAAGCATTGTAACAATTGGTTGCAGTACATTTTTCCTCTAGCAAAAATATCAATATGTATATAATTAAAGTTTGGTGGATCTTGAAATAGTTAACTGATCAATAATTTAATTCTTATTTTACTACTCAACAGCTACAAATGGTATGGAAATACATTTTGACCAGAAGTATAATCGCTTATGGGATAGAGTTATACAGAGATCTCATTTTCTCCTAAAACACACACACACACAAACCCAACAGTATATTTTTTAAACGTTCAATCATGATAAATACAGCTGATTTGAGGTTTTTTGTTATTTGAGAATTCTAAGACAGTTTGAAAAAGATAAATGTGAAACTAGTATATTGTAAAACTGAATATAGTTAAATCTATCAATTAAGAGTACCTATTTTCCAAACTATTGAACCTTAGTATTTACCCAGCATTTATACATATTGTCTCACTCAAGTGACCTTGAAACATAGGTATATTACTTCATTTTACAGATTAGTAAATGAACTCAAGTGAGTTGCTTCTCTACATTGTGATTGACAAAATTAAAATAAATCTGCCACACTCCACAGTCCATGCTCATTTCATTGTTTCATTATTTAAAATTCTAGATGCTTCTGGGATTCTGACACAACTCTACTTAACTTAAATTATCTGTCACCTCTAAAGATCAATAATGGTATGTAGCGCAAGTCTAATATGAGGCCATAAATACTACATAGCTGAACATCTCATTATTTCTCCTTAAATTAGCTTTAAAATAAAACTCTTATAGTAATCTCTAGGTTAGCACATGCCATTAAATATGTAACTGAAATGTTCATGCAAGTCAGAATGAACATTCCCCCTTTATATGTAATTTGAAAAGTTTCAGCTGGCGCTGAGGCTTTGCTGTTCATTAAAATGTCTTTGCCTGTAGGCAAGTTTTATTCTCTCTTAAAAGCTTAATTCATCTCTGAGTTTGTTTGCTAAAGTTGCCTGACTTGGTATTATTTCCTTGAGCTGTTCCAAGGTAAGTCAGGGAGTTCTGAAGGAACAATGCACAAACATTGCATTATACAAGTTGAGATAGGCAACTCATTCAGGTGGGTTAATTTCTAGATATACTGCTTTCATTCATCGTGTTCTCATCACCTGCCCAGAAATAACTTCCCGTAAGCAGAGTGCCTCTCTCAACTGTGTGGCCATAATTATTGCTAATACTGGCTTATTTCTTAATGTCAGGTAATGTAGACTATAATAAAGAAGTCAAAAGAACAAATTATATCCCATCATGCTGGGTAGGCATAGCTGAATCCATGTCAGCCTTTGGCTTAGAAAGGTTTTTATGAAGGCCATGATTGACAAATTTTGGATGCCTTGATTGGTGTTGTGCTTTTACAGCATTCCATTGGACTGGTAAACACTGATAAATTGTAATGCCATTAAAGGTGTGGCTTGTCTAGGGTTTTCCCAGCAAAACCAGGATAAGATCCTGTAGTTGTTCAAATTGTTGCTGATTATCCCATTATTTTTAAAATGGATAATCTGTAATTTCTTATATACAGAATTATGGCCACATTCAATTATACTCCATTGAAATGCTGAAAAAAATTTATGATCATTTTCTTGCATGCCAAAGAAGATTGAAAAATGCTACCCAATGCTTAGATGGTAGGCTTGGTGTGGTGACATATATATGAGGAAGAGTGAATCTGTGTAAATTTATACAGTGTTGTAAATCACTGTTGCCTCAATAAAGAAAATTAAAAGGGCCAGAGTAGCTAACTTAAAAAAAAAAAAAGAAAAACAACAATGTCCAAAAAGGCTAAAAACTGATTTCCAAGTTTCCTAAAACTGTCATTCTTAAGCATTACTTCCATGTGTTACAGACATTCGGCCCTTCACTCAGTGTATTTTCAATCTATGGCTGATAATATCTAAAGGCAAATTAAATGTTTAATATGGCAAATAAATATTCTTATCATTATATAATGTACAATAGAAGTATTGGAAAAGCTGTGAGGGCTATCAGCCTAGATGAAATCTTCATTCTGCCATCAAAAATCTCCATTAATGCTGAAAATTATTTCAATTCTCTGAATTTTATTACCTTTCCTGTCTCATAGCACTGTAATGAAAATCTAAAAAATCTGAGGCTTAGCACGGTAATCTACAAGGAAAATTGGTTATTTTTCATTATTAGGAAATATTTGAGAAAAGATACTGCACTGTACAAGATAAAAGCATTAAAGTTCCCAAAAATAAAATGAAAATTTCTCAACTCATACCAGACTTAATTCAGATTAAGTTGATGAAATGCTTTCCCCCAGTGTGATGTTTCAGTATATGTTTTCTCTCAGTGAAGATGCAGTAAAGTAGGCCCTGTGACACAGCATGGCAGTGTTACCCGAGAGACTAAGGAATGTTAAGCATTTTATACACCTTCTAATTCTGGAAACATTTCTTAGGAACTGGAATTCATGAAAATATTGGCAAGATAGGGAAACTGAATAGAACAGCCTACATGTTATATAATTAAAAAAAAATAGTTATTTGAATTTGGTGTAGCCAAACAGGGAAATGTTTAAACTAGCATTCTTGAAAAGATTGGCAAGATAGGGAGGCATGTTTTCTTAATCGCAGTGAGTGGAGAATAGATTACAGTTGTGAAAAATATCCATAACAGGCAAGAGGAAAATATATCACCAAGTTATTGCAGTTGGCAGAATTAATTAGCAGGCATTTCTTGTGTGTTTCTTTATGTTTAAAAAATATTCTTTGATGAGACATTTTCAGGGGTGGAGTGGACAATGGGATCAAAAATAGTGGGGGAGGGAATTGCACTGGACTATGGTGAGGGCACATGGGTGATTTGGTGATGGGAAGCCCATGGGGATTACAACTGAGATGGAAAGGCACAAAAGCATGTAAAAATAAACAATTACATTACTTAAAAAAAGGAAAACAGGGCCCTCCCTGGTGGCGCAGTGGATTAATGCACTGCAAAAGAAGCTTAAGCCACTTCCGCATGAGTTCGATTCCCGCCTGCCCTGGCGGAGATCCACATGGTACATAGCGCGGCAGACTTCTCCTGACCCGCCCTCTGCTCCCCTCAGCAGTGTGCTTCATTGATCTGCCTGTTCTGCTCCCTGCTCTGTCCCTGGTGAATTCTCTCACCTTCGGCATCTCTGGCCTATACCCCAGTTCTGTATGAATAAATAGATGAATCTTAAAAAAAAAAAAAAAAGGCAAACAAAAATATATACATATTTAAAATATGATAAAAATATTCTGTGATAAAAATGAGATACTTCTAATTGTGGCATAAGCATGTAAATTAGTTACATGGTTAATCTCATGTCTCATACTCTTCCAACTTTGTATTGATCTCTGGGGGTCAGATCTCCTCAGTACTTACTTAGCACATGCAGTCACTTGGAATTCATCGTCTGAAACAGTTATAGTTTGAGGCGCACTGACCTTAACTTCAAACTTGGGCAACACTGAAACAAAGAGAAATACACTTCAGCTCTCACATCACTGGTGAACAACACTTAGTGCAGTTGTGTAACTAAGTCTGAGTGATCTCCCTGTGTATATCTCTGTACATCTGTATGTACCCATGCCAGTGTATTCATGAATGTATTCAGCTGTGTGTATGTGCACACACAGATATGTCTGCAGGCATCATCTGTTTGTCTGCACGCATCTGTAGAAAACATCTTTCAGTTGTCCCTAAATTCTGGGTGGCACCATTGAGTAATGTTTTTTAATTAAGGATTGATTCTATTCCATTCTTCTCTTTTCCTTCTCAGAACTTCACATTTTATTTCTTAGCACCTTAGTCCCTTAGCTCCTTCCTAGAAGATTATCTGGATTCTAGAAAATGAGACATTTCCTCCGGGGGGAGAGGAGGGAAGACAAGGGTCATCATAAAGATAAGGGGCCAGAGGAGGTGCAAGAAAGGAGAGATGATAAATCAGAAATGGCTAAGATAATAGTAAATACCAAATCAAGCTTAAACTATTTTGCCTAATTCTAATCTGAAAGTTGTTTGTTCACTCCTCTGAAGTCTTTATTTATGCAGGACAGCCATATGCAGAGACTCTTACTGTACTTATTAACAGCAAATTGGTGTGTCGTTGTCTTCCCTGATTTTCTTTGTACAACAATTGAATAATCTCCAAACATTGGTTCTGAAGTCAGTTGGAATGAAAGTTGGGTAATATTTTGAAAGGAAGCCACATCTTGCCATTCAAAAATCTTATTGCTTTGAGGATCCTAGAAAGTAAAATAGAAGTAAAAACAGAGATATGAGTATTATCCTTTCCTGTTTATTATTTTTTAATACTCTCTGTAGTTTGGGTGAGGTAAAGTTCTACCATTTTATTGAGCTAATATCTCAAATTGTAGAAACAACATAGCTTCCTCCAAGTACTCAAATGCATTCTTACAGC